TCCCTTATGCCGTGTGGTGTTGGCAGTTATGTCTCTCCTCAACCTTCTTTTTCATGATCTTTAATTCAACTCTGACACATATGATCCTCCATGCCATGTGGTATTGGTAATCATGTCTATCCGCAATCTTCTGTCTCGTATACTTTATATCGACTCCAACACAGATGATCCATGCAGTGTGGTGTTGGTAGTTATGTCTCTTCTCAACCTTCTTTTTCATGATCTTTAATTCAACTCTGACACAGATGATCCTCCATGCCATGTGGTATTGGTAATCATGTCTATCCGCAATCTTCTGTCTCGTATACTTTATATCAACTCCAACACAGATGATCCCTTATGCCGTGTGGTGTTGGCAGTTATGTCTCTCCTCAACCTTCTTTTTCATGATCTTTAATTCAACTCTGACACAGATGATCCTCCATGCCATGTGGTATTGGTAATCATGTCTATCCGCAATCTTCTGTCTCGTATACTTTATATCAACTCCAACACAGATGATCCCTTATGCCGTGTGGTGTTGGCAGTTATGTCTCTCCTCAGCCTTCTTTTTCATGTACTTTCAGTTAACTCTGACCCAGATGATCCTCCATGCTATGATGTCAAACTATCTAGCATCTCTATTCTTGGCCTCCCTCTGCCTCTCTTCCCCTCCAACTTTCCTACTGTCACAATAGTTTCTACACATAACAAACACAGACGTTTTTTTTTAGAAAAACATATTTCTATGCATGTCTCTTACTGCTGAAAAAAAAAACATATTTCTATGCATGTCTCTTACTGCTGAAAAACACGTATTTGCACAGCTGGAGGGTACTTCAATTGCAATTCACCTAAACAAGGAAATCTGGGAGTTTCAGGGAAAGTCCAATATCCTGGGGGTGTTATGGTATGAAATAACATTGAAACTAAAATTTGGTGGGACTATATAAAGAGAACGCCTGCATGCCCTGGCACAAAAAACAAACATATCTTTGTCAGCTCCAACTGCCTCAGAGACACCGACTAACCCTAACCCATGACACCCCTACAATATTGTACTTTCCTGAGAACTCCTAAATTTCATTTGTTTGGAATGAATTAAAACTAAAGTACCCAGCCAGGGTTATGATTGTAATGGTATAGGTGCTTTGATGATTCCTCCTCTGATGGAAACATATGTACAGTCCTTCAAATCTGTCACAGAGTTTATATTTCAACCTATCTGTCCATCTTAGGTGTGTTTTTTTGGGGGGGTTCTTTCTCAAGCTCTACGCCCCTCTCCTTGTAGTTTATGCTTTGTATGGTTTGAAATAATTACATGTAAATAAATGAACACCTGAACAGAGTATTACTTTATATTTCACAAAATTAAAAAAAGGGGCTATTAATAAATCTGAATCAACAATTCATCAAATGGCAGGGAGACAGAGGAAGGCAACGTGTTAAAAAAAAATAATCATTAAGTGTTGCCATATTTATTAATGAAAATGCAAACTGGCATATCTTTAAATTTGATAAATTAAGCATTAATAATCATAGTAGCCATCATGAAATACCAGACACAAATATAAGTAACTGTACAGTAAACATGTGTTGAGTTGCGTAAGTTGTTCATGCACATAAGAAATATACATATTCTGTTGTTTATAAATTAATTTGTTTCCTCAGAAACCGTTATCACAAACAGCATTTCACACATATAACAGACTTCAGTCACTCCTGGTTAATGTTTAAAGAAATGGAGACCAACATCAGGAGCCAGTTTTGTTGTCTTTTTCCCCCCAGATATTTTATGTTTTTGTCTGATTCTGGTTTAGGTATGTCTTCTACTCCTGTTATCCGAAAGAATCTGCCAATATATTAACCCACCTTAGATAACCCAAGAACAATAACACTGCACCCTACCAGGTATGTCACAAGTGGTGTCTAAGGGCAGGGTTCGCTACCACAACCTATGTAAAGCATTAGCTGAAACAGTCAACAAATTAGGAACAGGCCTAATAATAAAGAGAATTAGGGGCCCATTTTAAAGAGGAAAAACGAACTCACCTACTAATTCTCAACAAGTATGTTGTAAAAGGCAATCAGTCAGTTGGATGTGTTGGGCTGAAAAGAACCTATATTACAGCCTAGTTGTAAGACACAACAGTCAGACACCCCCCTTCCATAAATTACCTCGACACCCAGGTCGACCTAGCCTTAAATGGGTACCAGTTACAGTTGTGAGAAGTCAAGGCGACCAACATGATGATAACTACATAACCCAAATGTGCTTATTCTATAAAATATAGGTGTAGATATGCCCAATACACCTGAACGCGTGGAATGGGGCCCCTTTTTTTAAAAAACTTTTATGAAATAGCCTTCAAGAATTTAAATAACTGTTCACTAAACATGTATTGTTTGTCTATGTCTGTGGCTTAGGGTTGGAAATGTGCTTTGTAATTCTGAGACAACCTGATTTGATTTCAGATGCAGGCGATTTGGCAGCAGACTGCTTTGCACTGATTTCAAGAATGGTATCTAGAGCTGACCGTTCAGAAAGCAATGACAAACTACTGCTGAATGTAAAATTGCCCAGTAAAATCACAGACACAAAATGCTGGGGTTCTTCTGCAATGTCCTTTAAAGGATACACAATTATCTTTAAGTTAGTCACACATAACAAAACTGTTAGTGTTTCTGTTGTATAAATAAAACAATGTTTTCCACCCCTTCAGGCATACTGGGCACATAGGGCTAGACCTATATTTTATAGACCAATCGGCACTCTGTGGATGATGTGGTCAGCATTACTCCCGCCGTCTTTACTTCCCAGACCTGCACCCGGTACCCACTCAAGGTTGGGTCAACCTGAAAGCCAAGGTCATTTTTGAAAAATGTCCAGCTCTGTCCGGACTCAACACACGACCTTTCAATATGTAGGCAAGCTTTTAGTCGGTATGCCATGGCAGCTCCCTGTTGTGCAAATGTTTCCCTATAAATAAATTTGTCCCTCACAAACACAAGTACTTTCAGGTCCTTTGGCACCAGTTAACTCATGTCACATGCACTGATTATTCCATACATTACACATGTTTCTTAGCTTCTTTCATCCCATTCTTCTATTGCATTAACCCATAAATGACCCGCTGCTCATTTACAAAACAATTATCCATATTTCTTTACAAAAATTATCCCTCATGAAGAATCCAACAGTCACAGAATCGTAATTACAGGTTGTAGAATGTTCCGGTCAACTATCGTATGCATCTGGAACTTTTACAATTTGTTGCTCGATGACTCTGGTGGCTCAGATGCAGTTGGAGTTTGGAATCTGAAGAAAATTAACCCATTATTATTAACCCACAGAAAAACTATGCTCAGAGATACTTCAGTTAAGTGATTTTTGTGCATTCTTGTTTGTAATTGTGGTACAGTGCTGATAAAGGCTCTCTAGCAATGACTTGTCATTTGTGTTTATGACAATGGTAACCTGACTGGTTTTATTTTTGTCTGGTTTGCTATCTTTTCCAAGTAAAGGTGTAAAGGGCAATGAACGAGCTGACAGACTTGCAGGTGATGTTCACGTGGGAGACGGACCAGCAATGGACAGGGCTAATATGCTGAATGCCATCAGAGAGGCAGCTCGATTAAATGAATCAAGTAATGATTGTGAGTCAGCTCTGTGGCTAAGTCGATGCGAACGCTTCGTAATGTCGGGTTTGATCCCAGCTGCGGGCCATGCGCCTTGCTTTGGTTTCGAGAGTGGTATCAAGAAAGCCGACCGTCCAGAAAGCAATGGCAAACTACTGGACGTAAATTGCCTGGAAAAACCACACAACAGCCAGGGGCTGTTTGGGTTGGTTCTGAAACATATTGTAAAGGATACGCAACTAACCTTTAAAAGATTGTGAATCTGCAACAATGATGAGACTACAACAAGAACACAAAATCAAAAGGAGTGAAGCCAGACAAGCACTACACAGGGGTCCAAAGAAGAATAGTAAACCAACACAGAACTGGTGTCATAAGCCGCTACACGCTGAGAGAGCTAGTGAAGAGAGGATCTGAGCACTTATGGACTGAATGGTTCAATGTGCGATGATGATAACCTGTCGACTAACGAACGAACTTTTCCAAGTTTGAACTCTAATGTAAACAGAACCTTCTTCTGTTCCTTCTCTCTGCATGGGTTTTCAGAAACGAAGGCCCAGGCCTCTATGAAAGCTGTAGTATGAAGCATGTCCTCAAATGGTCCATACAGCTTGGTTTCTGCCTAAACGCTAACTGGCCGGACTGGGGTTCTCTCTACATCATGCAGAGAGCAAGTCTGCAGCATGTGTTCAGAAGTGTTCAGAATTCTAGGATGCCTGACCCCAAAGGCAAAGTTCTGAGTCCCCAATCTTGAATTTTTGGTAAATATGGCTGCAGAGTCTGTTGTGCCCAGCATAAAATCGACCATATGATTGGTGTAAAAAATGCCCTCATATATAAGTAACGGGACAACCATTATTATTTTTTATTTTTTAAAGAAGAAAAACAAAGAAATAAATATTTTAAACACATTCCATGCATAAGACAACCTCCTAATTTTTTTTTAAGTTAAAATATCTGGCAAAACATATTGTCTTACATGCAGGGGAAAAAAAATAAATATCATGATCTATTGAAGGGCCATTCAACTGGCGGCCTGCTGGCCAAATCCAGCCAGGAAGTGGCCTGTGGATTACTTCTAACCCTATTGTATTAACGATCTATCTATAGAACTCTGGCCCGTGACGGCCCCCGTTTTCAACATTTTGGAGCCTGAGTAAACTTAGTTAAATAGCTGTAGTCTTTTGCTTTGGACTGAGGAGAACGTGATCAGTAACAGCTGTCTGGGACTTCAGGAGCTGATGGTAACATAAGATCAAACAAACACATGCACTCACTCTTGCTCATCTACAAAACAACTATCCCCAATTCTTAAACAGATTATCCCATACAAATAATCTGAAAGTCACAGAATCATAATTACAGGCCGTAGAATGTTCCGGTCAACTATCTAATGCATCCAGAACTTTCATAATTTGTTGCTTGATTACTCTGGTGGCGTCAGATGCAGTTGGAATGTAGAACCTGGGGAGGACAACAGCAGAAGAATGTGAGTGTCACAGAATTATAATTACAGGCTGTAGCATGTTTAAGATTTAAGAATCAACATAACAGTATGCAGGCTTCCAAAGAAAAGCTGCATTCCCACCATCAGCAGCCAGAGAAGTTTTAACACAGATGATGCCAGCTGTCTGCCTTACCTTTCCTCTCAGTTCTGATTGTGAACAAGATCCTTAAGTCACTCGTATTTGCTTCATTTTATTTCTAGATTGTGGTGGTCCATTCACCTTTCTAGTTTTTTAAGAGGGGAAAGAAAGCTCTGTAACACAACCCCCGTGGAGATAGTGCTTTGGTTCTGAGTCGGAAGGCAATTTTGACACTAATCTCTCTGCAACAGATATAATTTCAATTCAAGGAAAAACACACTGGCTACACTTATGAAAATGTCATGTGTGATGGTACATTTTATGTTTAATCAGAGTTAATGAAGAAATCTGGCCTTCTGGTTAGCTACATCATCCCATGAAAAGATTTCCACGTGTTACAGGAGCAATCAGAAGTGCAAAGAATAGTAACCCCACCCCCTGTTTTAAGGTATGGATACTCTCTTCTGTTGCACCACCTGCTTGATACCATAGAGTTTTCACCAATGTTGCTTAATTATAAACTAGCTCACAGCCCAGTGGAGCAACAGCATGTAATATATCAGCCTACTTATTATTCCGCACATCCAAATTTATTTGACAAAAAATTCACAATATGCTTCTGAACTATCTTATCAGGGGATTCAAGCCACTCTTTGCACAGGACACCAGTTTCTATTTTCCAGAGCATTCTCTATGAGTTCATTACAATTACCACATGTTGGGTAGACCTTGACTTTTAGCTGGCTATTCGATCATGCCAAAAAAAAAAATTTCTTCAGCCACAAAAGCCAGTCAACAAAGCCAAAATCTGTTGTGAGCTGGCCTATTGTAGGATGAATGATTAGAATACCCTGGACAGATTTAAAATTTAAAGAAAATTATGAAAGAAAATGACTCATGAAAAGAACTGACTGCCCACATCAGAAGGAGGTAATCTACATTTTATGGTTATGTCATCAGAAGGTAAAAACTGGAGTGCATCATGATCGTGGGGAAGATGTAGGAAGAGAGGCTGACCCAGAGACAAGATGCTGGACGGTTTGACAAAAAAAAGGGTAAAAACCTTGACACTCAAGGGAAAGGCAAGATGGTGATACCATTGGAATTGGATCTCTGCTCAGGCTGCTGAAGATAAGGACGGAACACTTACGGGAATATCCTGAGTGCTAAGATGTCAGTTCTTGACTTCAGCTAGTGTCTAAATGTGACATAAAGACATAAATGTGACATAAGTTTGACATGAAAGATCATCTGTGCCACAAATGATTTAAAGTACACAAGACAGAAGACTGTGAATAGACATGAGTACCAACGCCACACAGCATCGAATATAAGAAGAATGTTTATGTTCTAAGTTCTACTGAGAGACACAGGGCAGTAAAATACACATTAAATTTTACTACCAGATATTAGTAAATATGATGTGCAGTGGTAAGGCACGGGTAGTTTTCAAAAGCCACAACAAAATATGGAACTCCAAATTATATAGTTTTAGAAATAAGTGATGTATTTTTAATTCTAGTGTTTCGATTGTGCTACCAGTGCCAAACATGGATCCTTGCTACAACTAAAGATCGTAACAACAGAGATGAGAAGTCTTAGGAGAGCTGCCGATGTGACAAGAAGAGATAAAATCAAGAATGAAGAAATTAGACAAAGACTAGGACTGAAACCAGTCATACAATTCACTAAAGAACAACAAATGAGAGGATTTGGCCACCTGCTCCAGAGAGCCACACTGAAGAAATATAATGAACACAGAGCTCGGGGAAGACCATGAAAGAGATGGAGCAACACCATCAGGAGCAACCTAACAGAAATGAACACCAACTTGTACAAAACATTGGAAAAAGCGCACAAACGATCCATACATCTCCCCACCAACATCTCGCTGAGGTAAATGGCAGAAGAGAAGAAGAAGAATGTTTTAGATTGCACCACATGCCAGTAACAGCTGGAAAACTATCAGACATGGAATAAAAGTCACACGCATTCAAAAATACAAGGCCAACAGAAATTGATGAGCATTAAATGGGGTGAATTCTTCTTCTTCTTGGCACTCACTGGTTGTAAACTCTGGCAGAAAGTTCTGGTTGTTCGTCCATCGAAAGGGTAGCACAGGATAGAATAGAAAACCAGATTGTGAGCCCTATGTAATGTTGAACAGCATAAATGGATGATGATGATGATCTGGTGTTAGTAAATACACCACAGTAACTCCACTACAAACCAAAACATTAACACACCTGTGAATATCTGTAACATGAAAGCCATCTTCTTCGTGGGTTCCATATTTGAAGGTGATAAGCTCCGGCTGACGTTTCTTTGATGTTATCTTGACGATGGATCCTAAAGCCCTCCTTGCTTGGATGTGTGCCATGCCTTTCCGAGAAGGAATTTCTCTCAGTATGTACAGATGGACTTGAGGTGACCAGCAGGTAACTGAAACAGTCAAACACACAAATTTGCTGGTTTAAAATGACACTCTGCATTTGAATAATATGTGTGAGGGCCGGCTGCCCGAGTAGTTAGAACAATGGACACTCATGCAGGAGACCAGGGTTCAAATCCACCATAAGGTGATGGATGTTTTCTGGTCAGGAGGGAAAAAACACACATCCTAACCTGCCCAGTTCATGGTGATGGCACTAGCCAAGTATCAATATAATCATCTAGCAGGTCCTTAGCACAAAGTCACTCTCATCACAGTCTGCCTGAAAGAAAGGCGGCCTCTCACCATCTCTCCCGCCTAGTGCACTTTCCTACCCAAAGTGTCACTTATGTCGTATACCCATCTTCATGCTGGTCAACCCAAGTCCCTCTTGCCTGGTACCATGCCTTCTGCTATTAGCAAAAAATTTCCTGCTTTTTTTCCATATGACCATGATAAACGAGTTATTATTGTTTTTAGTTTACACAATAATATCTTTTTTATGTGGGTGGTGGTGGGTGGGTGTGGTGTAGGGATTAAATATTATTAATACTCATCACATTTAGACACTAGCTGAAGTCAAGAACTGACATCATAGCACTCAGGACATTCTCATAAGTGTTCCGTCCCAATCTTCAGCAGCCTGAGCGGAGATACAGTTGTGATGGTATCACCAGCAGCCTAACTAGATGTCCATCTTGCCTTTCCCCTGAGTGCTGAGTGTCGGCCAGATCCGCTGGTCACTTCCTCCTGCATCATTCTCTTAAGACTGAGATGATCTATTTATGGCTCCCTACTGTTCACTCATTCACACACTATATGGTTGCAACCAGTATCAAAGCTGTTTAGAGGTGTAGTGGCCACTGCCCACAGACTTCACGGTCATCGATGACCAGTCATGGGAACAATCATCATCAAGTAGCAGGTCCTCTGCAGAATGTAACACTCATCACAGTCTGCCTGTAAGAAACTTGTCTCTCATCAGCTCTTCTGCCTCGTGTACCTTCATATTCAAGAAGTCACTTATATCTTGTGCCCATCTTCACATTGTTTGGCGCCTGCCCCTCCACCCTGGTACCATGCCTTTTGCTATTATTTTTTTTTTCCAATCTGCCATGGCGATTAATATGACCAAAATATTTCAGCTTCAGAGACAAGATGCTGTTTATTAGCCAATCTTCCTTGATGTTCAGATCTTTTAAAATGTCAGTATTTCTCCTCTTCTTTGCCCATGGTATTCCGGCCACACCCGTGGAATCCGTAAATCTCATACAACATCACTTCCACACTCTTTCATTGGCCCAAATATCCATGCTCACTTCTTACTTTGGTCTGAATCTATAGCTTTTCAGCTCAAAAGCCCCCATTTTCTTTCTAAAGGACTAAGACATAGTCCACGACACACATCCGTTGGCTGCTACAAGGAAGATGCATGTTCTCAAAATTTTAATTTTGCTTTTCTTGCTAGTGCTTAACCATAGACTTTTAATGATGTTTAATTAATCTGGAACAATGCTTTACAAAAATTCAGTGATAAGCAGAAGATCAAATGGCTCAAACATCTCAATAGAATGCAGCCACAACAAGTACCAACACAGGTGCTGCAGCAAATGGTTGTACATACATCATACTTATCCTTCTTTCTTTTTCGTGCTGACCAGCTGTAAACTCCGGTGGAAAGTTCTGGTTGTTTTTTTTTTCCACCTCTGAACTTGGTCTTGTTCCATAAGCTGAGTGTTGCATGCCTATCCGTTTAACAGATCTGACTTATCTGTATGCAGATTTTTTTTTTTTTTCATCAAGCAGATGCAGTCTGACTTCGAAGGAAGCCCCCAGTTAGTCGATTCTTACAACATGCTTTTGGAAGGCGGTGGGTCTATTCTTGTTTCCCCACAATGGGGCCCCAGAACCCACTCACACAATCGTACACATATGATTTCATCTACCATTGTATCATCCATTAGAATGTATTCAATAAACGGTTTTCAGAATGATTCCCTTGCCTAACAATAGTATTCCTCTAACTACTCCTTTTGAAGTCAAACAATCTGCTTGTTCATTCTCTCGCACTTCCACATGTTCCGAATAGTACATCCATGTAAGTTCCTGTGGTAATGCTTATTATCCACTCATGCCACAGTTGTCCGTTTCCTAACCTTTTACAATACTGACTGAGAATCAGACACTACGATTCCTCTGGTATTTTCAGCTATATAATTCAGAGCTGCAGTAATTGCCCCTGCCTCGATCTTCTTGCTTGAAGTTGTTTCCCCCCGCCTGTCTGATACTATAATTTCTTACTCTCTCTTATTTCAGACAGTTAAATATTGAATAAATATCAGCACAACTGACCTGTGAAATGAGTGTCCATTTGTACGGATTTCTGTACATTTACAGGAGTAGACAACATCCGGCTTCTGTATCCAAGTCTCCAGACTGACCACTTCTTTCTGTTGATCATCATCATCCTCAGAGTCAACAGCACTGTGTTCCTCACCTGGTAAAGGAAGGGGAGGTGACTAATATATCAAAGACTGGTGAGATTCTGAGAGTGTTTAACTCTTCGAGTCCCAAGGAACGCATCATACGGTCATAGGTTCCTACCTAGAAGCCCAATGAACCCATGATGAGCCGATTTTATTACTTTCTTTACTACCCCCTGGGCCTGTGATGCTAAACCTCTGGGACTCAAAGAGTTAAGTGTGTGTCCATAACATCTGGACCATATCATATCATGATCGTTCTAGGAGTTAAGTTTGTTTGTTTATACAACAGATTAACATCATAGCACAAGGGTAGTAAACACATCAGTGCTCCGTTCTACTTCTACCTCAAGCCTGAGTCCAAAGAATCTCAGGGCAGTGCACTAACTCTGCAGCACCGACGAGGATCCTGAAATACTTTAGGTAGATTTTTAACTCCAAATGTTTGCTTATTGTCAGATATCACAGCCTCATCCACTTCTCACGTGTTGGGTAGTTGGGTATTCTTTACATAACATTGCAGAACCAACCCCAGCATTTTGTGTTTGTAGGGGTTTAATAGGTAATTTTACAATGAACAATTTGCCATTGCTTACTGAAAGGTCAGATCACAAAACCACTGTCAAAATCAGCATAGGGCAGTCTGTTGCCAAATTATCTGCAGCTAGAATTCAATTGGGTATCTAAGAATTATGAAGTGTGTTCACCATGCCAAAGCCACAGATGCCTTCAAGTAACATGGGTAAAGCAGAGAATTTAAGAGTACCAAGGGGTGCATTCAAACAACGGGAAGTATGTGGAGCTGTGGAAATGAGATCATGCTGCGACAATTCACGCCCAGGTGATCTAATTATCTATACAGATGGCTCAGTGTTGAGAGGGAAGAGAAGTGTCTGGGGGTTTGTAGCAAAAAGCCAATGGAAAATCTTTAGTGCAAGACAGCCTAGCATATGACACCACAACATCTAGCATGAGAATGGAGGTGGAGGCGGTAACTGCAGCTCTCCGGTGGCTAGAGAACAAGATACATACACATGTCGTAATTGTAACTGACTCTTAAAGCATGCTGAGAAAGGTGAAGACAGGGATGCTTAGAGAAGACTGGCAAGCTTCACTGGAAAGGTCACGGGTGGTGAGCATAGTTTGGATCTTTTCTCCAGGCCATACCAGCGTGGTGGGTAATGAACAGGCAGACAGATTGGCTGGATCTGCACCACTGGATGGTGAATTGATACATGACAAGGCAGATGTGGTCAAGGCCCTCTGGGAACGAGCAACAGAATCAGTAGAGAAGGGATTATTATGGCCTGGAGAGATTGAGGGTCCGGTGGCCTCTCTACACTCAGAGGAAAGGCAAGACAGACACATAACCAGATTGTGACTGGTGGAACTCTGCGCTGGCTGCTGAAGATGAGGACGGAGCATGCATGGGAATGCCCCGAGTGCTGTGATGTCAATTCTTGACTCAACTCAACTCGATTCTGAGATCATGCTGCGAGCCACTGTCAGGCAGACATCAACCAAGCTTCCAGGTGGTCAGTCTAAAGTAAAGGACCATTTCCTCACCTTCAGACATACTGAGGCATACAGGACTAGACCTATATTTTACAGACTAATCAGCACTCAGTAGGGGAGGCGATCTACCTCGAGGCGACCCCCTGTACTGGTTTCAGGGCCCCATTTTGGAGGCGAACAGAACAGACCCACTGCGCCTCAACACACATGTTAGACAAGGTGACTAACTGTAAGAGTTTGGTGAAATCAGATGTGATGAGCTGAAAGATGTAGATATCACAGCCTAGCTATAAACCAGCCCCACCCCATAATATTTAATGTTATCTTCTGTGCATGCACATTTCTAAGTCCTCAACTCCATGTTTCTGTTTCTTCTCAGTGATGTAAATGCCTTTTGCCCGTATATGTACTTTTCGGCCAACACGTACAACTTCTCTGGGCATTTTAAAAATCCGGGTTAGCCTTCTGTTGTGTGATAACTGGGTGTTTATACTAGAGGTCAGAGGGTGTGAAATATACGCATTAATATTTATGATATGAGTGACTAAAGTGAGAAGTGAGCATAGATATATGGGCCACTCAAAGAGTATGGAAGTGATATTTCTAAGATTTACGGATTCCACGGGTATGGCCAGACCCACATGAGAGTGACTGCCAGTAGATGAATTCCGTGGTAGTCTGATTCAGTCAGTGAAAGAGTTTAGACGCTTGTTCATGTTGTGTGACAGTTTTAATCTTGTGTTTTATTCTGACAGAGCGCCAGCACGGTTCAGTATGTCTTTTATGTATCAGAAAATGGAGTTCTGAATGTTTTTTAGTGTAGATATTCGTCAGAGGACAGAGTAAGTGGTGGCCTGTGTGTGGTGGGGTCATAATTGTTGCATCTATGTATCATGCTGGTTGACTTGTGGTAACTGTGTTGAAGCCAATGTGAGGTCAGCAGATACTTCCAGGAGTGACAAGGTATCAGACGACGTTCTGGATTTTATTCACCGAATTGGTGCGACTTCCTTAAGTCCTCAGATGCTGAGGTCTCTTGGATAGAGAGTCACCAGAGGATGGTCACGGCCATCTGTCAAAGATGGATTTTGCGCGGTGGGGCAGGAGGTGCCAGTAGCAAGTAACAGGACCTTTTCTGGTAGACTATGAAGAGACAGACGTTCTGCAAAAAACCTTGATAACGATGATAAGAAAAAAACATGACAGTCTTGTATCCACACCCTGAGACGTACAGATATATGGTGCTAGCCACATAAATGTATAGACCACTTATTTCCTTCTCAGCATTCACCAGCTGTAACCCCCTCCCCCACCCCCACCAGCAGGAAGTTCTGGTGGTTTGTCCACTTCTGGACTGGTTTTGTTCAGAGCTCACTTATTTGTAAGCAGACTTTTAAGTTCTTTGCCTCTCTGGCTGATAAACTCTTAGTCTGAAGAAGGAAACATCACCAATGCACATGCTTGTTAGGGTATGCCAGTTGGTGTGCCCCCCCCCCCCTCCCAAATTAGTTAGTCTTTCCTCTTGAGCCTAGGGCAGCACATAGGGCAGAGGTCATAGCTCTCCACATCTGGCAGTTTGTTGCCACCTGACCCCCCCCCCCCCCCCCACCCGCCCCAAATGGGGCCACAGAAACCACATGGAGGAAACAGACCAATATGACTAAATGGCTTATTGCATCAGGTGACTTAATCTCCCAGAATATTTCCTGGTACCCATTTTAGACCCAATCACCATGTCCTCCCAAGTCTGTTTTTAAAAACGCTTCTAAAAGGAAGTATTAAACTTATGACCCCAGGACTAGCAGGCAAGCATACACAAAATGATTACAGGCTTAAGACAATGACACGCACCTTCTTCCTCATCTCCAATAGTGAACACATTGGCCATATTTCTGTATCGTCTACCACCTTTCTCTGCACTGTTCACATGCCTGTGTGAATGTATAGTAGTGATTATTCCATGTACGAAGACATTCAGCACTTTAGTTCTTCACAAAGGGATCTTTTATAATTATCAAAGAATATTATTTCTTCTTTTTCTGTGTTTTCTTTAAGACGGCAGATGGCATATTATTTTGTATTTTACAGCAAGGCTGCGACATCCCTAATGGGAGCTTAGAGCACCCCAGCCCATCCCAAACGGGGACTTAGAACCCCCAGCGTATCCCAAAGGGCGCCTTAGAACCCCTCCAGCCCATCCCAAATGGGAGCTTAGAACCCTCTTCCCCCAGCCCATCCCAAACGGGGACTTAGAACCCCTAGCCCATCCCAAATAGTGGCTTAGAACCCCTAGCCCATCCCAAATAGTGGCTTAGAACCCCAGCCCATCCCAAATAGTGGCTTAGAACCCCTAGCCCATGTCAAATAGTGGCTTAGAACCCCCAGCCCATGTCAAATAGTGGCTTAGAACCCCCAGCCCATCCCAAATAGTGGCTTAGAAGAGCCCATCCCAAATAGTGGCCAACCCCTAGCCCATGTCAAATAGTGGCTTAGAACCCCCAGCCCATGTCAAATAGTGGCTTAGAACCCCCAGCCCATGTCAAATAGTGGCTTAGAAACCCCTAGCCCATGTCAAATAGTGGCTTAGAACCCCTAGCCCCCAAATAGTGGCCTTAGAACCCCTAGCCCATAAATAGTGCTTTAGAACCCCTAGCCCATCCCAAATAGTGGCTTAGAAACCCCTAGCCCATCCCAAATAGTGGCTTAGAACCCCCCAGCCCATCCCAAATAGTGGCTTAGAAACCCCTAGCCCATCCCAAATAGTGGCTTAGAACCCCCAGCCAATGTCAAATAGTGGCTTAGAACCCCTAGCCCATCCCAAATAGTGGCTTAGAACCCCCAGCCCATTCCAAATAGTGGCTTAGAACCCCTAGCCCATCCCAAATAGTGGCTTAGAACCCCCAGCCCATCCCCCAGCCCATCCCAAATAGTGGCTTAGAGACCCCCTAGCCCATCCCAAATAGTGGCTTAGAACCCCTAGCCCATCCCAAATAGTGGCTTAGAACCCCCAGCCCATCCCAAATAGTGGCTTAGAACCCCCAGCCCATCCCAAATAGTGGCTTAGAACCCCCAGCCCATGTCAAATAGTGGCTTAGAACCCCTAGCCCATCCCAAATAGTGGCTTAGAACCCCTAGCCCATCCCAAATAGTGGCTTAGAACCCCTAGCCCATCCAAAATGGGGCTTAGAACCCTCTTCCCCCAGCCCATCCCAAATAGTGGGCCTTAGAACCCCCTAGCCCATCCCAAATAGTGGCTTAGAACCCCTAGCCCATCCCAAAATGGGGCTTAGAAAGAAAAAAACCACACACCCCCACCCCACTCAAACACACCCACTTACACACAGAGAGGGAGGGAGGGGAAGAAAGACAGAGAGATAGAGATACAGAGAGAGAGAGAGAGATTTGGCCAAGCATATTAGAATGCTGGACCATTATTTTAATGGCCCAGGGTCAATTCCTAGTTGAGGAAACTGGATGTTCTGTAAAAAGTAAAAGTATTGCTATGAAACATCTTTGAGATTTCACCACTTTTAAAACTGGCTGTCCAAGGAATTATAAGGATATTTCTGTAAAACCACATCTCTGAGGCCTCAAAAAAATTGTCTGGCTTGTTTGATAATTGTCAATGATTCACAGCTGTAGGTTAAAACTGGCTCTATACAGCATCCAAGAATTCTTGTACTAACCTCCAGTGACACAGATTTTTCTGCATATAATGTCGTTCATTTTACATATTATTTATACAAGTCTGTAAATATAAGCAAACAAAATTCCTAGTAATATCAACTTCTTCTTTTGCCTTTCTATCCCCCAATAAAGCATAGGCCCTCAACCAACTCACACCAAGTCGTTCTATCCTTCGCCATTACATGGAGCTCTCCCCATGTCCTCCCAATCTTTCAAACCTCATTCTCCAGCTCTCTTCTCCATGTGTTTTTTGGCCTTCCTTTATTCCTATGCCCCTGTGGGTTCCAATGCAAAGACATTCTAGTTATGCTGTTCTCCTGTTTTCTCAGTGTGTGCCCTATCCAACGCCAGCGTCTTTTCCTCACCTCCTGATCCACTGGAGCCTGTTTAGTTCTCTCCCAAAATTCTACATTAGTTATTCTATCATACCATTTTATTCCCTCTATTCTGCGCAGGCACCAGTTAATGAATGTCTGCAATTTATTAGTAATTGCCTTCGTTGTTCTCCATGTTTCCGGCCCATACAATAGTACTGATTTGACATTAGAATTAAAATTTTTTAGTTTAGTATATATTTTAATTTCTTTTGACCTCCACAAATCCCCTAGTGCTATGAAAGCCCCTCTTGCCTTTTGTATTCTTATTTTAATATCTCTATCAGTTCCTCCATCTTTATCTACATTACTGCCTAAATAGGTGTACGACTCCACGTCTTGGAGTGGGGTGCCATTAAGAGAAACCACATTACTATTTGCCTGATTTATTCTCATTATCTTTGTCTTTCCTTTATGGATATTCAGACCAAGCTGCTGTGATCTCGCATTAAGTATATTTAATTTATCTTGCATCTGATTCCGTGAATGGGACAGAAGAGCAATATCATCAGCGAAGTCCAGATCATCAAGCTGTTTTGTAGGGGTCCACTGAATTCCATTCTTGGTGTTAGCAGTTACTGTTTTCATAGTCCAGTCTATAGCCAGTAAAAACAAGAGAGGCGACAAAAGACATCCCTGTCACACACCTGTTTTTTTTTTCAAATGCATCTGTTAGCTTTCCCTCATAAAGAACTCGACATTTCATGTCTTTATATGTTGCCTTTACTAAGTTGATAATTTTATGTGGGATTCCATAGTGCCCCATCAATTTCCAGAGAGATTCCCTATCTATGCTGTCAAATGCTTTTTCATAGTCTATAAATCCAATGTAAAGTGGTGAGTTCAGTTTAATACTTTGCTCTATTATAATACGTAATGTGGCTATCTGATCAGTACAGGATCTGTTTGACCGAAAACCTGCCTGCTCATCTCTTAGCATTTTATCAATAGCATCTTTTTATCTTTCCAAAATAATTCTACTTAATATTTTTCCAGGAACTGACAGCAACATAATTCCTCTATAGTTTTCACACTCCTGTAGATCACCTTTTTTGGGCAGTTTCACAAGATATCCTTCTCTCCAGTCTGCTGGTATTTCTTCGGTCTCCCAGACTTTACTGAATAATCTATGTAGCAATTCTGTTGGTGTGTTTATGTTGGTCCTGATGGCTTCAGCTGGGATACCATCTGGGCCTGACACCTTTCCTTCCTTAAGAAGATTTATAGCTTTTCTAATTTCCTCTTTGGATGGTAACCAACAAACCAATATCAACTACTGAAGTATTATTATCTGTTACTTACTTTTCAATACCTCCCTCATTCTTTATATAGTTGGACAATTTTACTTTCATCTCCGCAGATTTACTTTTGACAACATCAGACAATTTCCCCAGCAGATCTCTTGAAAACTGCAATAAATTAAACACAATTGTAACAGAAGCATGAGTTGAGAATTATAATAAAGCCATGTTCGACCAGGAGCCACAGCGGTGTAGTGGCTAGATTCTCACCTGTAGATCCAAAGGTTATGGGTTCAGATCTTCACGGAGCAAGACTTTTTTTTTTTTTTATGATCCTGGCTCCCAGGTTGACTTATCCTTAAATGGATACCAGGTAGAGTCTGGGAAGTAAAGGTGGCCGGCATGATGTTGACCACATCACCCACTGAGTGCCGACTGGTGTATAAAATATCAGTCTAGCACTATATGCTCAATTTGATGAAAGCATGGAAAAGGGTCCGTTACTTCTACTTTACGTGTTTAATCCCTAGGATGCTTAAATCACTCCAAGACTCAAGCCAAAAACTTTTAACCCAGAAACCCTTCTGAGAGAAAAAAAAAAGAAGTCAACTGAAAAAAAAAAAAAAATAAAAACAGGTGGGAGAGGGGGTAAAAAAAAAAAATCATGAATGGAGCTGATAGCAGTGTAAATCAAATGTCTACATTGAATGCTAAACAGCAAACTATGTGAAGATAATTTAACTGTTAAAAATGATAATGGTTAAAATTTCTGCCTCAGCATATTTCCATGTACCCATTGTAGGCTGGGCTGACTAGGAAGCCTAAGCCAGTTTTAAATATTATAAAGATCACCTTTACTCTCCAAATCAGCCCGGATCATTTCTTAAATATTTGAGCAGACTAACCCGGACAGCAAATGTCCAGGGAAGATGGATGTGGCTGTCAAATACCGCAGCTAAGTGTAAACAAACACAATTTAGTCTGTGTTAAACACAAACACAATTTAGTCAAGATCAATGGCTAAAATCTGCCTCGCTGAGGATTCAAACCTATGTCCATCAGGCTGGCAGGTAAGCATGCCAGCCAACTGCACTACCAAAGATCCCATTCAATCCAAAAATATGTTCAAATACTTTCTAATCATATCAGTCTAACTCCCTCTGTGGGTGCGAGGGGACATTCGGGGGGAGGGACAAGAATAAGCCCCCTGCCTTCTTAACAAGCATGTCATTCGGGGCGACTAATCAGGGATGTTTTCTTCAGTCAGAGTGCATCTGCCTGAGAGGCCAGGAACCAGCCGTCTGCACTTAAATAAGCCAAATCTGTTTTTTTTTTAAATGTTGTGCACGTAAAATTTTAGTTCTGGAACAAGGCTTAAGTCCAGAAGTGGATGAACGACCAGAATTTAACCGTCGAGTTTACAGCCAGAGAACATAAAGAAGAAAAGATCTACTGTAAATCTACTTTTATGGCTGTCCATAAATGACAGGAGGCAACCTTCCTTGAGACAAAAAAAAAAAAAACTGTAAATGTGTTAGATAAGTTACGACGTAGCCAGCTGGACATCTTATGAGAAGGAATGGACTCAAACATTTGGTTACAACTGGCAAAATTGATGAGAAAAGAGAAGAGGAAGGCAAAAATAAAACAAAAACACCTGGACTGTCTGGCCATATGGATGTGGCTTGATAAGAACACTGACCTGATTTGTGATTCTGATGACTGTGTAAGATTGTGAAACATCACAGCCTGCATTTATCTGCACTGCACACAATGATAAAATACAAACTTGATAAACTAATGTGACGATTTCTCCTGCCTTCCAAATAAAAGACATACAGAATCTTCTGCTTCTTCTTTTCTCTACTTCTGGAATGCCTCGCGGCATGAGAGCAGCAAGATATCTATGGAACTGGCCCTTCTGTTTGCTTCGTATAAAGTGCTTTTCAGTGGCTCTGATATTTCTGCTGTCCGTGTTCTGCATGGTCGACCTATGGTTCTGTTAAAGCTGCATCTGTATAAAACTGCTCTTTGTGGTGCCCTGTCTGATGCCAATCTTCTTACATGGCCAAACCATTTGATTTGTTGTCTACCTATAAAGTTTAGTATTTGTTCCTTGCCAACTCTCCTCCTGATATCGTTTCTAAACCGATTTTTCCTCGTTACACCTAGAACAGTACATAAACATTTCATTTTTGTCATACTCACATATTTTGCAGAACCGGCATCATTGCCTCTGGTACCTCCTCGACTGCCGCTGCTGTTGTTTGATGTAATATCACCGCCTTTGTCACACACCACCTGCGTCATTTCATCCATGCCATTCTCTGATGTAGCCTTCAAAATGTTGTGAATTGCTGCGCGCCGGATGATATAAAGATACATAACAAATCAATGAAGGGAGTTCAGTGCAAGCAGTCTTTCAAGTATTACCTTCACAATAAATCAGTCAGGACCATAAATATGTCAAGAAATAAATCAGCCAAGACAATAACGCAATCGTGACAATAAATCAGTGAAGACAATAAATAAATCACGACAACAAATCTGTCAAAATAAAGCAGTCAAGGCAATAAATCAGGATAACAAATCAGTGAAGGCAAGAAAAAAAGTCCGTAAACACAACAAATCAGTCCACCAATTAATGAACCATTCAGCCAGCCATTTCTCCCTCAACACAACTGACGTAAGCTACAAGTACTGTTTTGTATTTACTACTTTTGTGGTGTAAGGGGGTGGGGGGTCTTTGAGCCTGAGGATTTCGGGCCTCGTGGCTAATGCTGTCGCTAAGGACTGTGCGGGGTATAATTGTATTTTTGCCACCCCACCCCCCCACCCCCCCCACATGCACGCACCCACCCATGCACGCACACAGACAACTCTCTTTCTCTCTCTCTCTCTCTCTAATTCCCAAGCTTACAGAGGATTTGAATTCAGGTCTCCCTAATGACAGCCCAGCTTTTTTAACTGTTCGGCCAGCCGCTCCTCACCGCAACATCTAGTGACACAGATTGACTCAGACATACCTGGGTAGCCTCCTTTGGCTATGGACACGTACTGTTTGCCTCTCTGTAGGATGTTTGCCACCACCATATTGATGTACTGATCTTCTTCTTCTCTCCCACTCCCAAGAAAGCACAGGTGTTCTCCTGCTGCTGCCGAACCTGGTCAGTTGAGGTTTTCATAAAGACATTTATTTTCAGATAAACAGACCATGAGACAAATGTTTTAACAAATCTGAGGCCTTTATAGAAATGAAGGATATTTATTGTGAGACCAACTGACTTCCTCTCTACATCCTCTTTTACCGCTTTGGCTGTCGAGAGAGATATAAGGTCTTACTTTGTGCTCTTTTGGCTGCTTTGACCATAGACACATCGTTGTGCTGCAGAGTTTCTCTGCTGTTATTTTTCCATCTTGATTTTGGTCTACCTCTTCCTCTACGTCCCTTTCCTCTTTTGGTATATGCCTTGTATGGTGTAGCATCAGAAGGCATTCTCTCCAAGTGGGCAAACCATTTGATTTGCTGTCTTTGTATGTAATTTAGAATTGGTTACGTGCCGACTTTACCTCATATGACCTCATTCCTGATTTCATCTCTTCTAGTCACTCCTACAGTTTTTTTTTTTCAGACACCTCATTTCCACAGTTACTAATTTTCTTGTATGTTTTGTTGTGAGTGACCGCGTGTGGCACTGGTAGAGCATAGGATGGGAATGAATATGCTTTGTATGAGATGTTTTTTTGTGTGTGCTGATTGTGCTGAGTCAAGCTAGCTGTCCCAATACTTTGCTTTTTTTTTTTTACTGCAACAGATGTAATTTCTTTGTCCAATTTACCATCTTCAGTAAATGTTGTTCTTTGATATTTAAACTCAGATGCCTATTTAATATATGTATGCTCTAATGCTATACTTAAATTCTGCTTCTTTCTTCCTGTTGACATTACTTCTGTCTTTTCAATGTTGATTGTCATTATCTGATTTACATTCTTCATTCATGAATGTAAGATGATGTTGCAAATTCATGGCTGTATCTGCAATCAAGGTCTGGTCATCAGCAAAGAGTAATTTGATGATACTAATATTTTTGTTCCTGGGCCTGGCATCCTTGCTTATACTGTCAATGTAGGTGATAAACAGGAGTGGGGATAAAACACATCCTTGTCTTACTTCAGATGTTACTTTGAAGGGTTTAGATGTTCCCTGATTTATTCTAACTATGCTTCTACAATCTCTACATCGCAAAATTCAGTGAGGTGTTTACATACTCCATATAGCGCCATTACTTTCCATAATTTTTGTACGAATGGACAACAAAACAAATGTTTAAACAAATTTGAGATTCTGTCAAATTTCTGTTATATATTATTGATTGCCGACAGTCTTAAATTTCTTAAATTTAAAAAAAAAAACATTGTGGCGGATATACATAATTGTAATTAATTTGAATTAATATAAATAATGCTGACAAAAACAATACACTGCACAATTTATTGCCTGTCATATTTTGCTGAATTTTGACACCCATAATTAGGTGTGTGTTTTTCTAAGCTGGAGTACATCTGCGTCAGAGGCATGGAACTAACAGTCTACATACAAATAAGCTAGATCTGTAAAATGGATATCCTGGAACAAGTCCAGAAGTGAACGAACAAGCAGAACCTTCCGCCAGAGTTTACAGCCGGTGAACACAAACAAAAAAGAATAATCATAACAACACCAATAAAGAGTAAGCCAGCCAGCAAGGCACCAGATAACAATGATAAATGGACCACTTATAAAAACAAAATAATAATCGATCCAGCCTAAAATGGGTAGTCTGGTAGTCTTAGTTTCAGCTTCATAGCAAACGGGTCACCCCCATCTTTGCTCCGCTCCTGTGCCAACAAAAAACACACAGAATGTTCATCACAGTATTAGAATTGCAGTTCATCATTGATGAACTAAAATGGGTACCAGGATGTATGTCCTGGGGAAGTAAAGGCGGCTGGCCTAATGCTGATCATATTACCCACCTAGTGCCGATTGGTCTGTAAAAATATGGGTGCTTTTCCCATATGCCCTGTGCAGGCGTGAAAAGAGATCTTTAGTTGTTTTTTTTTTTTTAACTATAAATAATAATATATCAGTAATACAATTAATAACCAGTAACATTTGCAGAATTGTTCAACTGGTGCCTTCTTCTGCATTCATACTTTGAAGGGCAGCTGGTACACTGCATTGTAGTACACAGCTTTCGGCATAGCATATGCAATGCCAGCAACAAAGTTAGTTATTTTTTTTATGACATTCTTGGCAGTGGGCAATGGGTCTATTGTTTTTTCCCCCCTCCAAAATGGGCTCCAGAACCGACAAGAAAAGAATGCTTTAATCTAAACCAAACTGTTACTACATAAACGCGTGCACGAACCTGCTGACATGGCCTGAGCTTGGGCAGTAAATAATGCTTGAACAGCCACAGAAAACTCCTCCGGGTTCTGTAACATCTGGTGAAGGGATAGAATCCACATTAAAGTGTGCAGTAGATGGTGTACACATGCTAATTAACTACTGTATGCAACCACACTTGATACTACAGCAGTGTTTCCTTGGAGGGCACGTGAATGATCTCTGGGAGCAGCAGTAGTAGTCTCGGACTTTTTCTTTTGCTGCGTGAGTTGTTTTCTGCTCCGCCAGTCATGCAAGTACCCCTGTGACAGCCGTTTATCTCCATCATCATATTAGAAGTAGCTGAAATGAACAGCTGACTTCCTCTCTTTATTGTCCTCCCATTCAACTGTGCTGTGTATGCCCACCCAGACCGCACCCCGTGAGCCATCTGTAACGTTACATATGAGGATGTCTCCTGGTCAAGTGTGCTTGTGCATAAGGGCCCTTATTTCAGCATCAGTGGCTGTTAGGCACCACTCTCTGCCCAGGGTGATTATTACCTCAATGTGCCCCTGCATTTTTCTGGTAATTCTCTCCATTCAGCGCTGATAGGGAAGAAAAGGTGACAAGGAAGAGAACTGGTCACCCCATCTCATGTGTTAAGGCCTAGAATAAAGAATTCCTAAAACTGAAATATAAAAGTGAATTCTGGACAGTCAGCCAATTAGTCAATAATTATCTGGAAGCAGCAGAAATATAGTTTTATATTTAGTTAGTTGGGTTTTCATCACTGCACTCCAGACATGTCGATAGGTGCTCAGACCCTCCCCTCAGTATGAACCCCAGCGTCCGGCGGCTAACAGTACCAGTTCTATGTTGAATAACAAGTCCTCTGATGTGCCTGGTGTGCATCTCGTTTTTTTTGCTATGCCGATCTTAATTCCCAAGTTTATAATTCTGGCGAGTGATGTGGATTCACTGCCCTCAAAGTCCTCCACCCTTCGTACTTCTCAGAGGGTATTAATAATATCAGCATGATTCATGGGTTGACCATCAGTAGTGATAGCAGATCCAGCCAATCTATCAGCTCTTTCATTTCCATCCTGCCAGCGTGGCCCAGAATTTAAATAAAGGAGACTCGACGCACAGTGGACTTCTGTAATAATTCAAGCCATTGCCTTTGCACCAAACCTGTCGAACCCTCCGGATCATACTCCCTGAATTACTGAGTGCACATGCACAGGTGAAGTTGTGCGTTTTAAGCCACGCAATGGCTTGCGTTACTGCCATCCCCTCCATTGCCATTCTGCTGGTTGTCACGGAGAAAGCGCTGTTAGCTTCTTTGACTGTTCCACCCGCTGAGCCTGCTGTGAATGTCCATGCACTTTTCTGTTGGCATATAACGGATCCGTCTGTGTAGATCAGTACATCTTCCTCGTCTGAACTTTCACTGATGACAGCGTTGACCTCTGCATTGACAGCAACCGGATTCTGCTCCGTGCATCGCCTGTTTAGTGTGGCAATACAGGAAAAGGTACAAATAAACGCTTGAGACACAGATATCCACTCTGCACCAGTGGTGATGTCAGTAAGGTTGCATATTTCTACAGATGAACAATAAGAATACCATAGATATATCATGAAGAGTAATGAAGACGTCTTGAAAGAAATTAACTCATGATAAGAACTGATTGCCTACAACAAAAGGAAGCACTGTATTAGTGGGACCATAAAAGAGGTTTAGGCTATCCTCTGAATAACACTCCCAAATTATCGAGGATGAAAATATACCCTAACAGGGCCTCAGTCACATGTCAATTGCAGACTTCTGGCGACTTAAATTGCACACTTCTGGCTGGGACTCACAAGCAGCAGCTACCGCATCTCCTGCAGCTTCCTTAATTTTATTTGCTCGTGAGTCCCAGTCATTTAGTTTAGCCCCAATCCACGCCCGCGTATCGGCGTGGGAGATACTCTCGGCGGTGGCGGTATAGTCCCCGGAAGTCAGCAACTGACATGTGACTGAGGCCCTGTTAGGGTATATTTATATAATTTGGGACCATTATTTGGAGGATAGCCAAAGTTTGAGGGTAAAAGAAGCAGAGGAAGACTGAGAGAGAAGATGTTTACCAGTCTGACATCATGGCATGGAAACTCAAAGAGTCAGAAATGATTAAAAGTGCATCAACATGAGACATAAGGCCAGAAGATATATACGACTACTGACTCCACATGCCATGGGCCATACAAGGAGGACTAATTGTGCCTTTTAGTTTAAGAATTAATATTAATTCTCACATGATTTGGTCTGAAAGGGCAGCCATTGTGGTGAAGTGGCTAGATGTTCGCCTGCGGATCTGAAGATCATGGGTTCAAATCCACATCGAACATGATTTTTTCACACAAAAAATTACCTTGGCTGTTAGGTCAACCCAGTCTTAAATGAGTATCAGGTAAAGTGCAGCCTGGGAAGTAAAGGCAGGCAGCATGACACTGACCACATCACACACCAAGTGCTGACTGGTCTAAAAACATAGGATTGGCCCAATATGTCCAACACACCTAAAGGTGTCATAAAAGGGTCTTTTATTTGGTCTGAGACTGTACCCTTCTAAAGTCCATCCCATAAAGGTCTGCCAGGTGTGGTCATGCCTGGCTCTGCAGCCAGCAGGGCTGGGGACAGCTAGCTCTCCTAGGAGAGTGAAGAGTGAAAAACCAGTGGTCTGTGATCACACAAGTATTAACCTAGTCATCTCCTTGAGAGATGCAAATTTTCATTATTTTGAAGCCCCACCCTGGCTCTTGCCTGGACATAAATATGGTCTAATGGCTGAAAGCGGTTTCTGGGACCTCTCCACGGGTGATTCTCATTCGCATGATGGCACTTTGTGTCATCGGGTGTTTATCACTTGTGTGATGTCCTAGTGGGGTATAAAATCTAATCTAATCTAATCACACAAGACATCCTACCTCCCCATACTCAGACACTAACTGAAACTTTAAGGGCAGAATGTTAGATGGGACTGTGTGCCCAATTCTGAACCTATCAACAACAACAAAACGTTCATCCATTTGTTCTATGTCTGTGAGGAAATGGTCACCTGGAGAGGACTGGGCTCCACAACGTTGACATTGACTACCCTGAGAGGCACCATGATGGCTGATACACACAGCGTTATGAAACCATGATGATACACACAGCGTTATGAAACTATGATGGCTGATACACACAGCGTTATGAAACTATGATGGCTGATACACACAGTGTTATGAAACTATGATGGCTGATACACAAAGTGTTATGAAACTATGATGGCTGATACACACAGTGTTATGAAACTATGATGAACTGATACACAGTGTTATGAAACTATGATGGCTGATACACACAGCGTTATGAAACCATGATGGCTGATACACACAGTGTTATGAAACTATGATGGCTGATACACAGTGTTATGAAACTATGATGGCTGATACACACAGCGTTATGAAACTATGATGGCTGATACACACAGTGTTATGAAACTATGATGGCTGATACACACAGCGTTATGAAACCATGATGGCTGATACACACAGCGTTATGAAACTATGATGGCTGATACACACAGTGTTATGAAACTATGATGGCTGATACACACAGTGTTATGAAACTATGATGAACCGATACACAGTGTTATGAAACTATGATGGCTGATACACACAGCGTTATGAAACTATGATGGCTGATACACAAAGTGTTATGAAACTATGATGGCTGATACACACAGCGTTATGAAACTATGATGGCTGATACACAAAGTGTTATGAAACTATGATGGCTGATACACACAGCGTTATGAAACTATGATGGCTGATACACACAGTGTTATGAAACTATGATGGCTGATACACACAGTGTTATGAAACTATGATGAACCGATACACAGTGTTATGAAACTATGATGGCTGATACACACAGCGTTATGAAACTATGATGGCTGATACACAAAGTGTTATGAAACTATGATGGCTGATACACACAGCGTTATGAAACTATGATGGCTGATACACACAGTGTTATGAAACTATGATGAACCGATACAGTGTTATGAAACTATGATGGCTGATACACACAGTGTTATGAAACTATGATGGCTGATACACACAGTGTTATGAAACTATGATGGCTGATACACAAAGTGTTATGAAACTATGATGGCTGATACACACAATGTTATGAAACTATGATGGCTGATACACACAGTGTTATGAAACTATGATGGCTGATACACACAGTGTTATGAAACTATGATGATTGATACACAAAGTGTTATGAAACTATGATGGCTGATACACAAAGTGTTATGAAACTATGATGGCTGATACACACAGTGTTATGAAACTATGATGGCTGATACACAGTGTTATGAAACTATGATGATTGATGACGACAAAGTTACCCTGGCCAAAACATTTCCTTACCAAGCTGGAATCTAAATGAAAAGCTGTGGTCAGGTGTTCTGAATTGTACTGTTCAGCTGGTCTGCAGTCCACAACAAAATATCGCACTGAATCTTCCTGTAAAGAAATATACCATACAACCCCAAACATGAAACGAAGCTGTATTTCAAGATAACAGGTACATTAGTACCTCTTAACAATCCTCTTTAACATCTTCTCATTTCAGCTTCCAAAGCCAGAGCTAACAGCAAGGCAAAGATCTATATATATAAAAATCAATGTTTGTGTGTTTGTTTGGTCTCTATAGACTCGGAAACTACTAAGCCGATTTAGCTGAAATTTTCAGGATATGTTTGTTGTGATACCGGATTTTGAACCGTCGTGGTTTGAAATTCAACCTGTCACTGTTAGAGATAGGTGACCACAATTAATGCCAAAATATACGCAACTAATATTTATAACTTTAGTGATTTCTAATTATAGCCACGTTAGTAATTGCGCATGCGCCGTATTTACCATTCGCCGGCGAGTTACGTGCAGCCAACGCCTTCTCTAATACTAATACATAGAGTAGGTCGTGGTACAGCAAACAAGACTATCTCTATATTTGCCACAATAACCATATTAAACACGATTTCTATTTTCTGGTTTTTTTTTTCAAACAACCTTCGATGGGGGAGGGGGGGGGCAATCGAGGACTATCTCGACGTCGGCGAAGACAGTGACTGCGACATTAACTTCATTAACCGTGTTAGACACGTGCGATTTCTATTTCATTAATATATCTGGAGTATCTGTCTACGAGAAAACAATTGCCTGCGGTTTTGAACTGTGTTTTAATCGCGACACAGTGGTAGGGACACATATGTCTAATAGTTGTGTTCTCTTTTCGTTGTTCCGATTAAGTGGCTGTTTGGTCGAATGGTTAGAACACTGGGTTCAAGTGCGGTAGACCTGGGTTCGAATAAGCAGTAGTAAAATTTTTTTTTTTACCCTGGACTAAAATAATATCCTCATCTGCTCTGTCGTGGTGACAGCACTAGCCATGTTGCCTTAATATTAAAAAAAAAAAAAAAAAACCAGTAAATGGGTAAACCATTTGATCATTAAATTTGACCATTTCGCATACTTATAATTGCATTGTTAAACTTTCCGATTGCATGGTTATGCTGAAATTTTATAGATTTTCATTTATTTTCATTTAGATTTAGTTATTTCATCTGCGTTGGAATTTTAAGCTGTGCTGTTTACAATGGTGTTCATTTCCTAATTGTGGTGTTTTTTTCCTGTGTTCATTTGCTTTTCAAGTGTTTTTTTTTTTTCTCCCAACTACTTCAATGTGGGAAAGAGTTGTCGGTGAATTTGGGGGGGGGGGGGGGGGGGGGGGGGGGGGCAAACTATCAACTGAGAGAGCTTTAAGTCACAGTAACTGCTTTACCCACTTAAAGTAGCAGCAGCAGTAATAGTTGTGGTTGGGCTGTTACACCATAGTGCTCTCATGTGAAGACCGCCGGTAAGGTTATGGCGTTCTTCTGTCGGCAAGTGAAATTATACATCCTAACCTGACCAGTCTGTTGCGACAGCACTAGCCATGCGGAACCAAATCTTCTGGCTCACGACTCTCTGTCTACTCCGATGGTAACACAGATAGCAGTGACATTATTTTAGTAGTTGTACTGGTACTTGAAGGATGATGTGGTAAATATTTCACTAGCCCTATTCACTACCTTTTACAATTCCTGCTACTTATTTTAGTCCAGATGTCAGTTACAGCAACAACAAAATATCGCCAGTTAGTGATTTTCAAATCCTTCGAAGAGGGAGAGAGCAGTAGTCGGTGGAAGAGGGAAGGGGAGGGGGGTAATGACCTAATTTTAAGAGAACTTAAAGAGCTTTACACGTGATTTTCAAGTTCTCATTACCTAATTTGTTTATATTTTACTAACGCTACCTCCGCTTTTCTATTTTTTACGACTTACTTTGTTATTTACAAGTACAGTTGTAGCTTTACTTCCGTCTCCTATAAAAATACAAACAGCTTTAGCATGTGATAACCAAATAACCACTTTTGTTACCGTGCTAATAACACCATTTAAACGACCACTAATATAAAGACACAATTATATGGTGCGTGTTCTAAAGTTGGAAAACCAGACTATCTATCTATATATCTATATATATAAAAATCAATGTTTGTGTGTTTGTTTGGTCTCTATAGACTCGGAAACTACTGAACCGATTTAGCTGAAATTTTCAGGATATGTTTGTTGTGATACCGGATTTTGAACCGTCGTGGTTTGAAATTCAACCTGTCACTGTTAGAGATAGGTGACCACAATTAATGCCAAAATATACGCAACTAATATTTATAACTTTAGTGATTTCTAATTATAGCCACGTTAGTAATTGCGCATGCGCCGTATTTACCATTCGCCGGCGAGTTACGTGCAGCCAATGCCTTCTCTAATACTAATACATAGAGTAGGTCGTGGTACAGCAAACAAGACTATCTCTATATTTGCCACAATATCCATATTAAACACGATTTCTATTTTCAGGTTTTTTTTTCAAACAACCTTCGATTGGGGGGGGGGGGGGGGCAATCAAGGACTATCTTGACGTCGGCGCAGACAGTGACTGCGTCATTAACTTCATTAGACAGGTGCGATTTCCATTGTCTTTCTTTTCTAAAACCCCTTGATGAGGGAGAGGGTACTAGGTGGATTTAGTTGTGGGGGGGGGGGGGGGGGGGTGGGGGTGGGGGGAGGATCAAAGACTATCTCAAATTACACCACAGCAACGCGTGGCCGGGTACAGCTAGTAAAGAGATAAATATGTGTAAGCCTGGACTGGAACAAGAACATTGACTTGATCTGTGATTCTGTGATATGGCAAACTATGACCACTAATCCCTACATGCAAATAATAAATGACCACAGGCTCAATAGTGTCAGCATAACCTGCTTCTGTCCCTCTTTAATTCCCAATAATTGTTTCCCAATATTCAATTTAGTCAGACCTAATTCAACAATGCCTCTCCCAATATTAAATCACGACCGGCTCCAGTTGAGCGGCGGCGCTGCTAACGTCAGCGGGTCGGGATAACAATGCGTTAATCCAGCGTTTCTCATAATGGATGTCGAGACATCTTGGGGTGCCGTGAGTGTATGCCAGGGGTAGCCACAGCAATAATCAAGAAAAGTCGGCTAAAATTGTGAAATTATTACAGAAGGCATGTAGATACTTAAAAGTTTAAAATTGAAGTTGTCTTCCCTTGCCACTGTCAAAAATAGTTTATTTCTTGTTTGAGAACCGCTGCGTTAACGCACCGTTAGCCCGACCCAGTGACGTCAGGGCAGCACGGCCCGCCAGCTGGAGCCGGTCGTGATTCAATCTTAGCAGACCTAATTCTTTCCCCTCCCTCCTAATACTGTTTACTGTGACGTTCCAGTCAATATGGAGTACAAGTCGACCTAATACTCAAAATTCTTGACCCACTATATACGTCAACTCTTAAACATACGGTAGGCTATCAGTGGCCCAAAACTTAAGCCACACTAAAATTGTGTCTGGTGAAAATATCTGGCACATTAACACTAACCTGATAGAAAATAAGTGTTTTTACTGTATATTATCTCTCCACAATCTTCTTGGTCTGCTTCATGTGTCTATGATCATTCAAATCCCTTGCACACAGTTTTTACCTCCCTATCCTCTGAAATTCTCTCAATATGCCTCAGCCATTTCAGTCTAATAGCCCTCATGAAACCAGTCATCAATAGTGATTTAAACAGATTACAGAACTATGGTTTTTTTTATTATTAAGAAAGCCACAGCGTGTAACAGGGAAACGTCATCACTTGTTTTTATTAGGTAGGATATTGCATATTAGTTGAAGGGACCAAAGTCAACAGGTCTTAGCAATCTGGACATTCCCTTTCTAGAACCTTCTGTTGCTTATTAGCAGAGATATTTGCTGTCACAGTTGCTTCTCACTCTCTCACTCTCCATTCCCCGCTGTCATAAAGTACAGGATGGAAACTGTCAGAATCTATGGCTCGAATGGTGAAACTACTCTAGGGAAATTTCCCGAGAAAAAAAGAATTGATTTTCTGAGTTTTCCTTTCCCGAAGCAAAGAATTAGGTGGTCAACTTTAGTCTCTTAGTCAATAATTGAGTTAAGTCGTGGGCTATTTACTTAACTAGGGTGACCTTGCTTTAATATATACTGCCCCCAAGAAACTTTCACTAATAATGCGGTTTAATTTTATGAGAACGACACATGATGACAACAAGATAATTTTCTTAACGTTTGAAATTGTTCTTAGAAACATTTATTTAATATTTATTTTTATTTTTCAATGATGGTTACCAATCTAGTAAATCATAAATGTAGTTTATTTCTAATAATTGTGACGTCACAATATTTCTGTTATGAACTTAATTTTCTCTATCCAGTTTCTGTTAATCGTCATTTACTTCATTGACCTCTGGGTAGATTGCTGTTCGGATGTTTCTCTAAAAAGATTTCAATGTCACCTGTTTCTTTCTTCTCTATAACTTTGATGTTCATAGTTGGCTCACGTTGATTTGGATGGTAGCTTCTTGCCTGATGGTAATCATAACTTCGATACTTTTGGATTGGGATCACACTTCTTGAATCTTCTTCACGTTCACCAGCTGTACACTCTGGCGTGAAGTTCTGGTGGTTCGTCCACTTCTGGACTGCAGCCCTGCTCCAGAACCTGAGTGTTGTGTGTGCATCAGTTTTACAGATCTGATTCAATTGAATGTAGACTGCTGGTTCCTTGGCTCTCAGGCAGATGCACTCCGACTTCAAAGGAAGCTCCCCAGTTAGTCGACTCTTACGACATGCTTTTGGGGAGGCAGTGGGTCTATTCTTGTTTTCCCCACAATAGGGCCACTTCTTGAATCATCTCAAACAATAAAGGCAGCTTCATTCTTTTTCATATTCAAACTCTCCGATGTTATCCTTCCCCCATGACGTTATCAATTCAAATGCCTGGTTAGGTTGAGGTGTTGGTAAAGAGTGACGTTTACATTTTTTTTTTTTCACCCTTACCATAGATTGGTTGAATCCCAAACAACACGTTTAAGTATAAATTTCGTCATATATTTCTATGGTGCCGGAATATTCTAGAATTGTATTAATTGACTAAGCGGTTTGAGGATATATATATATAAGATTGCGTAATTGAAGCCACTTCATGACATCCGCATTAAACATTCACTTTACAAATATGAATTGATAACTGATACACATAAAAAACCAGGAAAGCATACTGCTGTCTCAACATGTAACACTTACACTAATCATATTATTCCTGTTGGCCTGCAGTAACTCCTCCCCGGACACCATCAGACACAGGGCATCCATCACACTGTTGTCATCAAACTCCTTCTGTGCAATGACACTGCCTCCAAACATGGCCAGCTGATAGTCCTGCGGTTGAAAACATCATTATTACAATACCCACTTAAAAAATCTTCTTCTTCTTCTTCTTTGCCTTCACTGGCTGTGAACTCCAGCAGAAAGTCCTGGTTGTTCGTCCACTTCTGGATTTTGGTCTTGTTCCAGGACCTGAGTTTTTGCATGCACATCCATTTTACCATCATTAGGTGCCATGTCTGCAGTAGAGGTAGGATGTAAGAGTCACCAGCACTCTCCACCTTGTGAAATCAGACAAGATTCTTCAGGTTCTTCCAATCCTCACTTGATTATTCTAATTCATCTCTTGATTCTTCCAATCCTCACTTAATTCTTCTAATTGATTTCTTGATTCTTCCAATCCATCTCGTTTCTTCCAATCCATCTCTTTATTCTTCCAATCCCTCTCTTGATGTTGTCCAGCCACCTGTAACAAATATCTCCACACAGATGAAGGATTGAAGTTAAAAGCTTGTATACATCCTGCAGGCCCGTCTCTCTAGCGTTGTTGGCTAAACCGGATTGCGCGGTGAGCAGGTGACAAACTCCTTGTGGTCCGGGTTCACTCCCGGAGGTGGGCAGAAAAGCCACATTTCTCCCAGATTTACGGTATTTACAATGGAATCAAGGCCGAAAGGTTGCGATATCCATAATACCGAGCCTAAGGGTTAACAACTCATGGCTTCTGGATACTCAATCAAACAATACATCCTGCAGAACTGCCCAACTTTCAGTTCTAAAGGATACCAGATGTGGCTGAAGGATACAGAGCTGAAGCACATATTATTGGGCTCCCCTCACTGATCTGGAGAAGAAACTGGTCTTCATCCTGAACCAAACTCCCAGTGGTGCGTAGTGGCTAGATGTTTGTCTGCTGGCCCAAATATCTTGGCTAGATGTTTGTCTGCTGGCCCAAATATCTTCGGTTCAAATCTGCATCAAGGCAAGATTGTTTTCATTCAAACCTGACTATGGCTAGCAGGTCGATGCAGCCTAAAATTAAGTACCAGTTAATGTCCTGGGAAATAAAAGTGGCTGGCACGATGCTGACCACATCACCCACAGAGTGGCAACTGGTCTATACAAATCTGTGCCCGGTGCACCACCTGCAATAGAAAAAAAAAGTGTCTCCTATTTTACCTTTTCAATATTAGCAACGAGTTTGTGGGAGAGCGTGTACAGTTCAGAGGAGCAGATGGATCACCAGTCTGGTGAGATTGATGCAGGGGGGAGGGACGAGGGGTTCTGGCAGATGCTCGAAGCTCAGAGGAAAGGCAAGACAGGCGTTTAATTAGAATGCTACTGGCACCATTAGTATCGGAACTCTTCGCTGGCTGCTAAAGATGGGGAAAGAGTGCTTATGGGAATGCCCCGAGTGCTGTGATGTCGGTTCTTGAATCAAATCAAATCGAATCATATTAGCAAAGAAGTTGAGAGAACCAAAAGGTTACAAATTGGACATGCAGGTGCATCTTACATTCGGCTCTTCCTAGCATTTATCTTTCATATGGCAGTTAAATTTTATACATCAAACATATTATGTTCATATATCAAAACTCATTGTATAAATGTAAATTAACAATGCAAAGGCATGGATGACACATGCATACCTTCAAATATGCATGCACAAATATTCACACATCGCAGACACTCACAAACACACATACAAAACCCTTACACACATTGATGACACACACAGAACATAAACAGGCATACATACAATCACAAACAGAACACATACACAACACATATACATTTACAGATGTTTAAAATAATGATAATCTTGTAGAAACACTTTGTTGACAATAAATTAATAATAATCTCACAAAAACACCCATAAGCTGTTAACAAGATTATAATATTGTAGAAACGTTCTGAAAGCTGCTAAAATAATGATAATCTTGTAAACACATTCTGATAGCTGTTAAAATGATGATAATCTTGTAGAAACATTCTGAAGGCTGTTAAAATGATGATAATCTTGTAAACATATTCTGAAAGCTGTTAAAATAGTGATAATCTTGTAGAAACATTCTGAAAGCTGTTAAAATAGTGATAATCTTTTAGAAACATTCTGAAAGCTGTTAAAATGATGATAATCTTATGGAAACATTCTGAAAGCTGTTAAAATGATGATAATCTTATGGAAACATTCTGAAAGCTGTTAAAATGATGATAATCTTGTAGAAACATTCTGAAAGCTGTTAAAATGATGATAATCTTGTAGAAACATTCTGAAAGCTGTCAAAATGATGATAATCTTGTAAAAACATTCTGAAAGCTGTTAAAATGATGATAATCTTGTAGAAACATTCTGAAAGCTGTTAAAATGATGATAATCTTGTAAAACACCCTGTAGACTAATAACATGATGATAAATCTTGTAGCAACTCTATAAGCTGTAAAAACTACTTAAATAAACAAGAAACCTACCCTTCTAAAGGACTGTGGTGTCTTTGAAGCATAGTACTGTGCCAGTGAACAGAAATCCTCTACATCTTCTGCCTCCAGAGCTTGTGGAAATGTGGATATTAAATCTGAAATGAACCATGTGACAGTGAGTGTAAATTTCAACAATGCATTTTTCATGAATTAGGTGAAAGGATTTGCTTTTCTAATCTTCTGCTGTCTCATCCAGTTGTTACATAAGCATATTCTACCTCCATCATCATCCTGGTGTTCCACTGTATGTTACATTTTGTTCACCAAGTTGAGTTCATGGCGTGACACTGTCAGCTGTGGATTTCATTAGGAATGCTTTTTGACTGTGCCCATTGCAGTTTATTTCGTGAATTGCAGATTCGGAAAACAACGGGCCGGCTGTTGCCAGAGAAAATGTGATGCCTTATGCGATTAATTGTGTGTGCAGCCACTGATCTGCTGCCACTTGTGCTTCCATCAATAATGAACTGCATTTCTAGTGTTGGACTTTTTGGTATTAGCACTTCTGACTGCGGGACACCGTAGCGGAGCGGCTAGATGCTCACCTGTGGATCGGAAGGTCGTGGGTTCGCTCACTGGTTGACCCATTTAAAAAAAATGACCTTGGCTCCCAGGCCGACCCAGCCTTGAGTGGGTACCGGTGTAGCCTCAGGAAGTAAAGCCAGACGGCATGATGCTGATCGCATCTCCCATCTTGTGCCGACTCATCTAGAAAAATATAGATCTGGCCCTATATGCCCTATATGCCTAAAGGCGTGGAAAAAGGTCCTTTACTTTTTTTTTTTTTAACTATACTTACTTCTGAATGCTGCCTTATGCACTTAATGTGTGTGTAGGCCGTTGGTTTGTCTGAGACTGCAGTCTGTGTCAATCTTTGTCACAAGGGACAGTATCCGACAATCTGTGTGGTTCTCTTTGGCACAGGAGCTGAGCAACTATTGGGGTGACCTGTTTGCTACAAAATTGGCTGGAAATGCCATTACCTGACTAATTCACCTGACGTTACATAACACTCATAGACCAATCCAAGATTCCATTCTGTCGTGTGCAATCCTTTCAACATCATCAATGGAATGAACAGGCAGACAGACTGGCTGGCTCTGCACAACTTGGTGGAATACTGATACATGATAAGGCAGATGTGGTTAGTGCCTTGTGGGAGAGCGTGTACAGTTTGGAGGAGCAGATGGATCACCACAGTCTGGTGAGATTGATGCAGTGGGGAGTGACGAGAGGTTCTGGCAGATGCTTGAGGCTCAGAGGAAAGGCAATCAGAATGCTACAGGCACCATTAGTATCCGAACTCTTCGCTGGCTGCTAAAAATGGGGTCGGAGTGCTTATGGGAATGCCCCAAGTGCTGTGATGTCGGTTCTTGAATCAAATCAATTCAAATCAATAGAATCAAGTCCAGAACCTTTGGCCCCTCTCAGTCAACTCTCATCCTAGGGCTTCTCTCAGGTGACCTCATATTCTCAATTAATTTTTCTCCCACTTCAGTGTCTGCCCGATGAACCTGGACATGCTTTCCCTCAGAATGTTATCGTCTTTAAAAGTATTGATACCTGTGGTTGTCCATTTTTTTCTAATTTCTTCGCCCCTCTTAAATCATCCCATTGCATGTTCATTGGTCCTCTCTGGCAACAGTCCGCAAAGGCATTTAACTTAACATAGTTGATATATCAACATTTATGATGTTCATTAGTCCTCTCTGGCAACAGTCCTCAAAGGCATTTAACTTACCATAGGTTTCATATCAATATTTTTCATGTTCAAACGGTCCTCTCTGACAACAGTCCTCAAAGGCATTTAACTTAAAATAGTTGAAATACCAACATTTATCATGTTCAGTCGGTCCTCTCTGGCAACAGTCCTCGAAGGCATTTAACTTACCATAGGTTTCATATCAACATTTATCATGTTCATTAGTCCGCTTTGGCAACAGTCCTCAAAAAGGGATTTAACTTACTATAGTTGTCATATCAACATTTATCACGTTCATTAGGGATTTCTTTTATACTTTTTTTAAGGTGCAAACAAAATTCATTAAAAGCAATAATTGTTAATAAAAACGTAAAAGTGCTGGAACAGATATTGTTAAATAATCACGATTTTCATCTGCTTATCATGTTTTTGAGCATGATGTCAACCTCATTACACACAAAGAGCAGTGGGTGCACAAAAGAACAACTAATTTATTATTATAGTTATTTTGAACAACTTACCAACAAGTTCTCCTCTGCTTTGATCTTTGCTCTCCAGTATGGAATCTCTGAAATATTTAATAATCATTATTGATTGATCAATCAGTTTACCCCCTCCTGCCTGCTACCTAAAGGTTTGCCACGCCATTCTGAGATTTAAAAATCCTAATCTGGATGGCAGATGGTTCACTGCTCAATCTTTGCAATACCGGCTATCAGAAAGCCCATTCAACCTCCTAACCAGTTATAACTAGGGCACCTGTAACAGTTACACCAGCCAGGTGTCGCCTGCGGTCCTTTATGGGTAAGAGAGATAATCACATCAGCCAGGTGTCACCTGCGGTCCTTTATTAGTTAAGAGAGATAATCACATCAGCCAGGTGTCACCTGCGGTCCTTTATGGGTAAGAGAGATAATCACATCAGCCAGGTGTCACCTGCGGTCCTTTATGGGTAAGAGAGATAATCACATCAGCCAGGTGTCGCCTGCGGTCCTTTATGGGTAAGAGAGATAATCACATCAGCCAGGTGTCGCCTGCGGTCCTTTGCTGGTAAGGTATATAATCACATCAGCCAGGTGTCGCCTGCGGTCCTTTATGGATAAGAGAGATAATCACATCAGCCAGGTGTCACCTGCAGTCCTTTATGGATAAGAGAGATAATCACATCAGCCAGGTGTCACCTGCGGTCCTTTATGGATAAGAGAGATAATCACATCAGCCAGGTGTCGCCTGCGGTCCTTTGCTGGTAAGGTAGATAATCACATCATTAAGGACTTATGTTGTTTTATTCAGATACAGAATAAACGGCAGGGTCTTACATTTCCAATGAGTGAACAGAGCGGAGGCACAAACAGATGATCACTACGGACTGAGGAGAATGGCGCTGCGGGGAGTTACCAGGGGATCCGGCCGACGTTCAACACTCAAGGGAAAGGGAGGGGGAGGAGTGGGGGATGGATATACAATCGAACAGTTACTGGTACTATCGGAATTGGAACTCTCTGCTTGCTACTGATCATGGGGACTGAGCACTTATGGGAATGTCCTGAGTGCTGTGATAGTGATTCTTAATTCAACTTTTCCAATGCATGGTGTGTTACATAATACAGAAAGAGTGTTTTTTTTAAATAATATATTTTTTAAAATAAAAATGTCCAAAACATGCTTCTGCTATTTACACATTGGGGCCCGGCTCTCTAGCGTAGTCAGCTAAACCGGATTCCACTTTTCATTAAGCTTCTTAGCCACAGCTCAGTGGATTAATTTCTTGGTATTAGGATACATCAGAAAGGGAATGAAGAAGAAAATAAAGTGTAAAAAAAGGATGAGAGCTGAGCGTCTGAAATAAAAACAGACTAAACATGAATATTGACAACGGTCCTAAAATCCCATGCTATAATTGTGGAAGATTTTTCTTAATGAGAGTGGGTCCTCCTAGCCACATTCTCCATCACGGTGGGCTGTGAGTCTCATGCCACCTCATAGCACAATACAATATAACACTATCAACTGGAAGGATGGGAAAATGCCAATCATTAGCTAGACAGCAGTCACCCTGTTTTCAGCACTGATGTGACCCAACACAAGGACAAATCAATCCTTTTTTTAAAGTGTAATTAAATACAATTTGTATGCTGTGCTATTATAGGCAGGCATGGGAATCAGTTCATGACAATTCTAAGTGTGTCTAGCAAGACCTGTTGGCATTAAGAAAAGTCTACCACAATTAGAGCAGGCAATTTCAGGACCACTGTTGACATTGTATGTATGTAGCCTGCTTCTTCTCAGACGCTCAGCTCTCAACCTTTCTGTAATCAATTTTTTTCTTTATTCCCATTTAATTCCTGATTATCCCCCACTAGACGACACAGTCCTTAGCATTTTGTTCCCGTGTATCTACCTGAACATCTGCATAATTCATGTCCATGGACGTTATAGGCCAAAATTTACAGTACTGCCTTCTGGATATTCCGAAACATGCTCTGTTCCCTTTCACAGTAATGTTTGGTCCATTTCTGCAAAGACAGACCTGCAAGTTACCCCACTTGCTGTAGCTGTCAGTGGTACTCTGGTCATAACATCCTTGAAGGTCCAATGAGGTTTTGCCCTGTTGGATGCAACCTTAAACTCTTGAAGTTACAGAGGTGGTCACATTTTCAGGTAGAAGCCAGAAAGTGGAATAACAAACAGATAGGTTCGGTAAGTAAACATGGAGAACAACTGAAGCAAATATACTAGTAAACTACAAATACTCATTAAATGGTGCCTATATAGAAGAGAGGGAATCAAATGGTATGGTAAAATCACTAATTTTGAGCTCTGGCTGAGAACTAAACAGATTCTAGTGATTCAAGAGGTGAAGAAAAGATGCCGGTGTTGGATAGGACATATGTTGAGAAAACCAGAAAACAATATAACAAGAATCTTGTTGCACTGGAACCTGGGGCATGGAAATAAAGGTACACCAAAAAACACATGGAAAAGGCAGCTTTAAAGTGAGGTTAAAAAAGGTAAGGAGGGCATGGGAGCGAGCTATATGCAACAGCAAAGGTAAGGCGGAATTGGCTTGAGTTGGTTGAGGGCCTATGCCCTCAGATAGAGGGCAGAATAAGACAAATGAAAGTATGTCTGTCTTTTCGGTGCTTTATTAATATCCTACCCCAAACAGGGGAAACCCACAGGTCACGGTACAGTCTAATATTTCAGGGGGCAGAATATAGGCTGCGTGCAGTCGTGGGACCTAGACTGCAAGCAGTCGTGGGATTTAGGCTGCACTCTCTAGTGAGACGTAGGTGGGTTGGGGTTAGGGCCAGTTCTAGTTGTTTTGGGGTCATTAAAAGCATCAGAAAGCCAGGAAACCCAGTCTTACCCCCCTCTAAAATGTTGGACTGTCCTGTGACGTCATCTAGGGTTGTATAGTAATAAAGCACCGGCTTTTCTTTTATACACTGGGCGGCATCGGCACCACCATATCAGCCAATCATCAGATAGTATTGATACCTGCACAATACAGTATATGCTGGTCCCTTGGAGGATAGGCAGAGCGAGAGGACTTCTCCGCAATCGTCACCAGATATTGATACCTGCGCAATACAGTACATGCTGGTCCCTTTGAGGATAGGCATAGCGAGAGGACTTCTCCGCAATTGTCATCAGATAAGACTGAAACCTACATAACACAATACAAAGCATTAGCGAGAGCGAGAGGCCTTCTCCGCAAGCACCATGTCTCGGAGAAACAAACCTAACGGAAAGCGCAACGGACAGAGGAAACAACCCACTGACAGATCTACCCGATCTAACTCGGAGGCCAGGAAGACGCAGACAGTTACTACCGAACCACAGGAAGACCCCCGACTACCAGTGAGGCCCTGAGTGACGTCCCAGCGTCACCTGAACCAACACAGCCAAGTCCACAAACATCTCCAGATCGACGAAAGACAGGCAGCTATGAATTTCCTGCCACAATATTTCTACAACAGACCAGCTCGGGCCGGACAGCAATCACTTCACTGGCAACGCTAACATTGATCAATATGCTGGAGATCATATTAGGCAAGAGGGCAATCGCAAAGATTAGGAGAACTCGAGAAGGAGTGATAGCCTCACTAAACAGAACCAATCGCACCTCAGACATGCTGGATGACATCCAACACGACGGCAAGAAAGAACTCCGACTATCCAAGGAGATAACTGTGACGGCTACAATCTTCCAGAATGTAAGACGCTGGGTGATCCGAAGAGTCAACCTGCAATGGAGCAACGAAGAAATTCTGCAACAAATAAGAAAAGAAAACCCCAATGTCAACATCAGCCAAGCAGAGAGACTGGGCTCAAAACGGCATCCATTGCCAGTGGCGGTGATAACATCGGAAGGAGAACACATCCCGGATAAAGTCTACCTAGATCAAAGAATGCAAAGACCAGAGCAATACGTGCCACAGGTGATCCAGTGCTCTCGTTGCCAAAAAGCATGGCACTCCCAGGCCACTTGTGTGAGCGAACATGAAGTATGCCGATACTGTTCACAACCCCATGCCTTCAACAATTGCCCGCTGGCAAAGCTGGACACAGACTTTAGGTCTCCCAATACGAACAGGAAGTGCGCCAACTGCTACGGCCAGCACAGCACCAGGTACCTGGGGTGCCCTTATCTGCAACAATGCAGAGAAATAGCAACCACGGCCATACGGGAAAAGATTCCATACCATGAGGCCCGCAGAAGACACGAAACAACCCAAGGCATAACTGCAGCCATTACCACCAAATTGAGCAACGAGGTGGCTCAACTCAAAAGTGACATCCAAGCTCTCAGAGACGAGAAAGACGCATCCAAATCTCAACCAGATGAAGACAGAGATGAAATAACAGGCTTGAGAGCTATAATGCAGGCGACTCTAGACACCCAGAAACGGATGACAGCAGAGATGACAAAATTCAAGGAGGACATCATGAATGCACTGGCCACTATCCAGACACAAAAGGAACAACCAACTAAAGCAAGGGAAGACGAGGCGGGCATCAATGATCTGCGGGATAACCAACAACTTCTCGCGAAAGAAGTCGCAATGATCAAGAAGGCACTAGCTGAAACAGAGGAGAAGTTACGAAGAGCATACGAAGAAAACAACAGACTTAATAAGGAACTGCAAGCAACCAACAGAGTGATGGAAGAAAGAGAGAAAGCACGGAAAGAGGCAACAAGAAGGCAGCAAATACAGGGAGCCGAGACCCAGAAAAAGCCACATCAAACACCAGATAAGAAAACTCCAACGCCGCTGATGAAACAGTTTCCGTTGGCAACTGCTGACCAAATAAACCAACGCATCATGGAGCTGGAGGACCCGAACTTCTTTAACTCAGAACTGCAAGATGATGATGTTCTTTGGTCATCACCAGAGGAACCATATCGACAGCCAAAACCTGAAGTCAAACGAGGTCGACACCGTTACCCCAAACACTAATACCAGATACGACACAACCAAGGCCAAAATTACCGAAACCCTATGTAGGAGCAGTACTTTACAACAAGGATACGAGAAAATCACCAAATAATACCAGACCTCACCAGTATTGTCATCAGTACCTGCCCAAGTCAATCGACCGCCGGTCCTTATTAGGATAGGCAATTTACTTTCCCCAGAAACAACAAACAGCCAAGGAATACCACAATAAATCGATTCAACATCCAATCATCTTGAGCGCAGCACAGGGCCAGCCAAATTACAAAAGCAACAGCAAGAGCGGAAACCACAACAAATAGAAAGCAACAATATTGAACACAATCCAAAATCAAATAAGATCGAGACCAGAAAACGTCACCACAAATATAGCTGAAAGGAAAGTAAGCAGAAATGTGAGCGGACCTAGCTGAAAGTGGTCAACGAAAGAGAATTTGAATTTGAATTTTATACACTGTTACAAGTGTGATCAAGATAGTTCAATCAATCTCTGTTACACACACTACCTCTCACCCATATTCTTTCACTCCCCCCAAGTGCACAAACAAACAAAGAAAAGGCTATATGATATTAAATTACTAGCTCACCTTGCATTTACTAAAATGACCAGGCCCATAAATAGCTGTAAAAAGGGATCGGCATGTTGAAATATAACATCCCACATGGACAGACACACATGTAAGTGACAGGTGCCTCCAAACAAACTGTTAAACTGGAAATAAAATACATCAAATAATCAAGTCTTCAGAATAAACTTTAGCAAAACATTTTTACATAGACAAGTTGCATATCCTTAACAGAACTTTACAAACCAATGCCATTAATTATTTAGCTTTGTATTTTTGTTAGGAAACTTTACTCTGAAAACCAGCTGTACACACATCACTACTGTAACTGACAGACAGCAGAGTGGCAAGCCTCGCTTTAGAGGTCCCTGGCAGTTAGCATCCTTTGGATATTTTCTCCAGGTCATGCCAGTGAGTTGTGAAACAAACATAGATTAACTGGCTGGTTCTGCACCACCTGGTGGTGAACTGATGCATGACAAGCTGGATGCTGTAAGGGTCCTCTGGGGGTGAGTGAACAGAGCAGAGCTACAAACAGAATATCATGGTCTGAGGAGAATGGTGCTGCAAGGAGTGACCAGGGTATACGGTCAATACTCAACACTCAAGAGGGATATACAATCAGACAGTTACTAGTGCCATCGCAATCGGAAATCTGTGTTTGCTGCTGAAAATGGGGAAGGAGATCATATGGGAGTGTCCCGAGTGCTGTGATGCTGATTTTTAATCAAATATTCAACAGAGGTAACTTTACATTCACTGGTCTGCTTTTTTGAATAGTATAATGATCGTACTGCAGACAATGAAAAGCGTTCTGCTAATAAATCACCTGCAGATGACTTCCGACGCCGATATTCTGTTTAATGAGACTGTGTTTACTACCACTTGCGGTCACAAAACGAGACAAAGCTGTTATAAAAGTATCTTCTTCTTCTTTGATCCTTCTGTCGGAAAACTTATATCAGGAGGCCGGTAACCATTACAAAAACTATCATGCAATCCAAATCTCCCTGTGTACCATACAGCTATGTCTTCATTGAGACACCAATACTTTTTAATAGTCGTATTAAAAAAAAAGGAAATCTATTAGAATTGCAAATAAAAGAGGGTTAAGCAGTTTCTCCTTTTCTAAACGATATCACAAACCCCTTAATTTTGTTCTGCAGAGTCCCACTAAATTAGCACCACTGAACTGATACAAAAATCCCATAATTTATCACTAAGCTAAATCTAGCCATGTCACACACACACACACAAGCTTACAATCACGCCCAGGTACCAGCTGTTACATTCATACTGTCAACTGCTGGTGTTACATCAATCATAAATAACACTGCTAAAATATCCTATGCAACCCCACCTCATCTACCCCCCCCCCTCCCCCACCCCAATTATTCCTCTTTTATTTGAGAAAAAGAAATTGTTTTTTAACTGGGGAGGGGGTCGTCAACACATGCCAATTTTGTAAAACTTTTGGAAATTTTGTTAGTGAAATCTGGCACCACTGTGGGCAGGTATTGCTACTCCTCCCTATAGAACAGTGGTCTCCAACTTGAGTATATGGCAAGACTCCAGCAACCCCTCTTTCCCCCCCCCTCCCACCCTTGAGTATATGGCAAGACACCAGCAACCCCTCCCCCCCCCCCCTTGAGTATATGGCAAGATCCCTGCACCCCCTTGAGTATATGGCAAGACCCCAGCACCCCCCTTGAGTATATGGCAAGACCCCAGCACCCCCTTGAGTATACGGCAAGATCCCTACACCTCTCCATCCCCAAACATAACAAAATGTGGTTAATTAAAAAGAGGAGAACAGAGACAGGGGAAAGAGACAGTATAGATTTATTAGATTTTTAGATGAATATTATAATAATCATAGCCTAGCTGTAAACTACAACATAATGTACCAACCGCCTCATAGACAAACAAACAAGACTGTAGATATACAAACTGCTTATGGAAACAAAACAAAGAAACATTTCCCTGGCTTTTTTAAAACAGTTTTTAAAATATTTTAAACTGAAAAATATAACGGTTTATTATAAATATGCACGCACACACACACACAAATTGCTTGACATCCCCTTGCGTTCTCCCCCCTCCTTCCAGGTTGGAGACCACTGCTAGAGAACAATATATCACTACTGTCTGGAAAGTAGTGAATGTAGCAGTGAAAAACTACAATCTGTTTAAAAACAAAAGACGCCTATTTTGGAAAACATCTTCCTTTAGCACACAATAACACTACTGCCTGGAAAGACAGAAAGTTGAGAATGGTAACACACGAAGAGACATGAGCAAACCTCACAAGCAGATTGTTTTGTAGACTTGAGAATCAATAGTTTTGCAGATTTTTAAATAGATCTACTCACCATTTTATAGAACAGAACAGACCTATAGCCTCGTAAAAGCTAACTAATCTAGGGCGTGTTGAACAGATTTACTGAGTTTAAAGGTGCAGATATCTCAGCCTAGCTGTGAACTACAATATAATGTACCAACCGCTTCAAAGGCAAACAAACAAGACAACCATGAAACTACAAAAATGATCTTTACTACTTGTTATTTACAGGAGAAGAAAGCTAGGCAGCGAAGGTGAAAAGATGGGGAGGATATGGGAAGAGCTGTACGTGATAGCAAAGAATAGAATGACTTGGTGTGACTTGGCTGAGGGCCTATGCTCCATTGGGGGGTAAGAAAGGCAGAAGAAGAAGACCTGTTATTTACCACTTTGTCAAAACAACCACCAGACAGTGCATCAAAGAGAACCCCGTCATCTCACAACACAATGGAAGCAGAGCTAGAGGTTGACCATGCAAGCTCCCCGTATAGGTTGTGGAAAAAACAAGAACAGACCCACTGTTCCCCAACAAGTATGTTGTGAGAGTCGACTAATTGGGGGCTTCCTTCGAAGCCGGAGCACGCCTGATTTAAAAGGCAAGAAACTAACAATCTGAATACAAAGAAGTCAGATCTGTAAAATGCAACAATAGGATTCTGGAACAAGGCTAAAGTCCAAAGGTGAATGAATAACCAGAACTTTCCGCTTGAGTTTACAGCCCGTGAAGGTGAAGAAGAAGAGGACTAATCAAGCAATGGTTAGATAGAATACCCGAGGCCGGAAATCGCAACATCTACACCACACATACCAAGGCTCTCACCCAATGACTCCTCAAACCCTGGTGGTGAAATGTAGCACAGGATTAGAGGAGAAGAAGTATAAATCTCAGAAAGAATGTTGAAAGAATAAATAAATGACATAAATCTCATATACCCATGACATTGCATAAAGATCAGGGGTCACTCTCCTCGTATCCAAGTACGAACACAGTTCAGGGTCGTGGTACTGAAGGAGCAGCCTAAACAGATGGAACAGCCTGCCAGTCTTTTTAAAGCTGCTGCAGATTTGAAAATAAACACAAGACACAGGTTAATCTCAGGCAAAGAGAGAAAAGGTGGTGACCAAGCACTCCCCACCAGCATCATACTGTGAGCCAGGCTGATACTTGCAAGCAATTATGTTCCTGTACCAGGAAATGTCCTGGGAAGTGAAGACAGCCAGCGGGGTGTTGACCACATCCCCCATCAAGTTCCCACATCCCCCATCAAGTTCCCACATCCCCCATCAAGTTCCCACATCCCCCATCAAGTTCCCACATCCCCCATCAAGTTCCCACATCCCCTATCAAGTTCCCACATCCCCCATCAAGTTTCCACATCCCCCATCAAGTTCCCACATCCCCCATCAAGTTCCCACATCCCCCATCAAGTTCCCACATCCCCCATCAAGTTCCCACATCCCCCATCAAGTTCCCACATCCCCCATCAAGTTCCCACATCCCCCATCAAGTTCCCACATCCCCCATCAAGTTCCCACATCCCCCATCAAGTTCCCACATCCCCCATCAAGTTCCAACTGGTGAGTCTACCATTATGCACCTGAAGCACCACTAGTGTGAAAATCAGTCTTTTTCTTATGTTCCTGTACAAATATTTGTACTTTGTGTTCTTTATCATGCTGCCCCAGAAAGCTACAAACCCAACACTTCCAGCTTGGGCCAACACCCTTTAAATATCACTTATCTGACATGTCTCTAATGATCTATTTATGGGATGTACAGGTAATGTTATTGGCTGTGTTCACACCTGCACAACATTTATGAGGTCAGGATACTAATATATTAACTAAATATAGTATTTAGAGGGTTTCCTTGTAAATCTAATAACTCTTTTAAAGCCAGGCTGACTTACAAATGTTCCCATAAGCCTTAATGATAGAGGTCACTACATAAATCACTTGATACATATTAATTTTAGGCCCCAGGGAATGAATTCCATTTAATGCTTCAATTTATTCTTGTTTATGGTTTCTCCCTTTATATCTCTTTACTTATTACAAAACAAAATTTTTTGAAAGCAAACAAATGAATTTGTAAACAACTAATTAGGTACCTGCATACATTTTTATGACCCATCCTTCTCCCTTTTTTTTAAGTATTCACGGGGCCAAAAGGGAGCCGCCATAGTCTAGTGGCTAGAGGCTTGGCTGCGGATCAGAAGGTTGTGGGCTCGGTTCCTGACAAGAGCTAGATTTTTTTCAAAAATTACCTTAGCTCCCAGCTCAACCCAGCCTGGAGTGGGTACCAGGTACAGTCCTGGGAAGTAAAGGAAACCGGCATGATGCTGACCACATCAACCACCAAGCGCCGTTTGGGAACATCTTGATCTGTTTCCACTGCATTAGAGCTTTTTGTGGGGCACTGTCTTCTATAGATGTTGCTGTATGACCAAATCATGTGACTTTTCTCTAGTTGTTGAACACTGGCATCCCTTCTCCTTTCCCCTCAATCGCTTTCAGGCAGAACTTTTTCTTATCTTGTCTCTTCTCATTTCTAACAACAACAACAACAACAAAGGTGTAATGAGCTACTACACACATAAGCCAAAAAAAATTAAGAATCCCTAATACAGAAGAAAACTAGAATATGAGATTTATAGTAGAATCTGTTCACACATCACTAGTTACGGGCATTATGAGGGCTAATCGACTGGGATGGTGGTGACATTTAGAGAAAATGGTGGATAACTGGAAGACAAAAACTGTGTTCACAAAAGAAGCTGAATAGGAGTAGATAAAAAATCAGACCAAGATAATGGACGATAATAAACACGCTGACCTACAAACACTCAGAGCCACCCACTAGAATGAGAAGGTCAACCAGAGAGATGAATGGAGGTAGGTTATAAATGCAGCAATGAATCTTCAGGACTCAGAATGCTGAAGAAGAAGAAGAAGAAGAAGAAGAAAAAGAAGAAGAAGAAGAAGAAGAAGAAGAAGAAGAAGAAGAAAGAAGAAGAAGAAGAAGAAGAAGAAGAAGAAGAAGAATAAGTAGAAGAAGAAGAGAGGAGGAGGAGAAGAAGAAATAAGGAGGTGGAGAAAGAAGGCGGAGGAGAAGGAGGAGAAGAAGAAGGAGGAGGAGAAGATATACATGATGAAGACATTAAAGAAAATACCACAGAGAACACAACTTACTTGGGAATATATTTATTTTGTATAGAATAAAAACAGTTATATAACTCCGACTGTGTCATCTTCACAGCCAGCAAAACCTGCAGGATGTCCATCCATCCGTTCTCCTTGCTGTACTTCAGCCCTCGGGACTTGCAGTAGAATGTTATCACAGTCTCTAGATCACTGATGATAGAAACTTTATCTTCTTCATCATTGCCTAGTTTATCTGAAAGAGGTACAGAAAACAGTAGACTATAATGGTAAACGTTATCTTGTTTATCACTGTATATTTAAATGGAAAGAGTTAAAGGTAACGGTAAACTTTATCTTCTACAGCACTGCCTAGTTTACCTGAAAGAGTTAAAAATAATGATAAACTTATATCGTCTACATCATTGTCTAGTTTATCTGAAAGATGTCAAGGTAATGGTACCTTTATCTTCTTCTTCATTATTTTATTTGAAAGATGTCAAGGTAATGGTAACTTTATCTTCTTCTTCATTATTTTATTTGAAAGATGTCAAGGTAATGGTAACTTTATCTTCTTCATTATTTTATTTGAAAGATGTCAAGGTAATGGTAACTTTATCTTCTTCTTCATTATTTTATTTGAAAGAGGTCAAGGTAATGGTAAATTTATCTTCTTCTTTATTATTTTATTTGAAAGAGGTCAAGGTAATGGTAACTTTACCTTCTTCATCACTGTCTAGTTGTGCTGAAAAAGTTCTAGGTAACGGTAAACGTAACTATTTCAGTCCCGGGAAAATCTTCCTTTAACTCCTCAGAACTCTGCCCATATAAACGGGCACCTCAGAACACTGAAGATGTGCTACAGACATATTCTCATTCAGTCCATAAGTACTCTGATTCCCTCCTAAGTAAATCCTATATATAGAGTATAGCGGTTGATGACACCAGTTCTGTGCTGTGCTGGTTTACTATTCTTCTTTGGCCTCCTGCATAATGCTCCAGTCTTGCCTCACCACTTTTTTTACCTGTTTTTCTGGTAATCTGGTAAGGTGCACATTTCTTAGTCATGACCTGATTCTTACAAATACTTCTCATAGAGCATCCAGTATATCAGGCAGGCCCACTGCTCATACCACCTCCACATTAGCCTTGCCTGCAAGCCTAGCAACTTGTTCTTTTCCTTTTACTCCTGTATGCCTTAGCACAAAAATTAAACTGATCTCTGTCAACCGTGACTGCATTTTTATGGACCAACTGACACTAAACAGGTAATGTGGTCAATATTATGCCAGCTGTCTTTCTTTACTGTCCAGAGGTCCCAGGCAGGGATCTTTGGATGTTTTCTCTCCAGTTATGCAGGAGTGATGGGAAATAAACAGGCACATTGACTGACTGGTCCAGCACCAATGGGTGGTAAATTTATGCATAATGTGCAAGTGAACAATGTGGAGGCATGAAACAGATAATTTTATCCCTGTGTGGGTTCTGAACACTTGGTACAAATGGAATGATGTCTCCATCAAGAGCCAGATTGACTTTATACTTACCAGAGTTCAAGGAAGAAGGAGAGTTCTTGATTCAAGAGCAATCCCTAATGGTCTATGTAACACTGACCATAAAATAGTTGTGCTAACAGCTAAACATCTTACATTAAAGAAACACCGAAAGAAATTAACCAAAAACAAGGATCTCATCAAGATAGCAAATCTGGAACAGGAAGGAGTAAAAGAACAGTTACAACAGAAAGTAGAGACAGCATTCAAACAACTTCCACATGTAGTTGGCAATATTGAGGAAGAATGGAGTAAATATAAAAAAACTATGCTTAGTATTGCAGAAGAATTATGTGCAAAAGGAAGAGTGGAAACAGACGGGGAAATAACAAATATTCACCTTGCTGGCGCGAAGAAGTAAAAGACGCAATTAAAAAGAAAAAGGACTTTTAAAAACAGTGAAAAAAATCAAAGAAAGAAGAAGATTATATAAACTATAGACTGCAAAGGAGAGAAACTAACAGGAGTGTAAAGAAAGTAAAACAAGCATCCTGGGAACGTTTCGGTGAGTCATTAGCAGAAAATGAGAAAACAGCCAGCAGAAAATTTTTCAAAGTAGTTAAAAATATGCGGAAAAGAGATGAGAGCTACAACCCCACTGAAATAATTAATGATAAGACAGGACGGCCATTGATAGATCCACCCGAGATAGCAGAAAGACGGAGGGAGTACTTCAATGAGCTCTTTAATCCTCTAGGAGATCATCAGGAAAGAACAACTGAAGATCACAGAGCGACAGTGTAAGAACCACACATACTAATGGATGAAATAGAAAAAGTTATTAAGCAGTCTCACAAATATAAAGCACCAGGAGCTGATAGATTACCAACAGAAATAATTAAAACAGCAGGTGAAAGCAGCATCAGATGGCTTCACAGAATATTTAATGCAGCATGGGTACAACAAACTGCCCCTATTGATTTGCAACATGCAATAGTTATACCATTGTGAGAGAACAAAGGAAGCAAATGAGAATGCGGTCAATACTGTGCCATGTTGGCACAATGTATGCCAAGATAATAGAAACAATACTGAGACCAGTGATAGAACCACAGCTGGCAGAAGAACAGATGGGATTTAGGAGAAATAGAAGCTGCACAGATGCAATCTTCACACTTAAACAGTTAATAGAAAAGAACATTGAATACAATAAGAACTTATTTGTGGCATTCGTAGACCAGGAGAAGGCATTTGACAGAGTCGACAGACAATTATTATGGAAAGTAATGGCAAGATATGAAGTAAGCGAACACCTCCTCGAAGTGTGCAAAAATTTATACAGGGATTGTAGAAGTGTAGTTAGAATAAATCAGGGAACATCTCATTCATTCACAGTAACATCTGGAGTAATACAGGGATGTGTCTTATCACCACTGCTGTTTATCACCTACATCGACAGTATATGCAAGAATGCCAAGCCCATGAATGAAAATGTTATTAAGATTAACGAATTACTCTTTGCAGATGACCAGGCCTTGATAGCAGATACAGCCATGAAATTGCAACAACATCTAACATCCATGAATGAGGAATGTAAAACAAATAATATGAGAATCAACACTGAAAAGACAGAAGTAATGTCAACAGGAAAAAAGAAGACAGATCTAAACATAGCAATAGAGTGCAAAGGCATTAAACAGGCATCTGAGTTTAAATATTTGGGAACTACATTTACCGAAGATGGGGAATTGGATAAAGAAATAAAAATTAGATGCAGTAAAGCAAACCAAGTATTGGGACAGCTAGCACCCCTCTTACAGCATAAGACAATCCCAATCAGCACAAAGAGACATCTTATTCAAAGCATATTTATTCCAACTCTGTGCTACCAGTGCCAGACATGGTCACTCACAACAAACCATAAAAGAAAATTAGTAACCATGGAAATAAGATGTCTGAGAAGGGCTGTAGGAGTGACCATAAGAGATAAGATCAGGAATGAGATCATAATAGAAAAAGTCGGCACAGAACCAATATTAAATTACATACGAAGACAGCAAGTGAAATGGTTTGCCCACTTAGAGAGAATGCCTTGTGACACCATACTATACAAAGCATACATGGAAAGAGAAGAAGGACGTAGAGCATGAGGTAGACCAAGAACAATATGGAAGGATAACATCAGAGAAACTCTACAACAGCACAATGTGCCTATGGTCGAGGCGGCCAGAAGAGCTAGAAACAGAACCTTATATCTCCCTCGATACCCACAGCGGTAAAAGAGGAAGTGAAGAAGAAGAAGAAGAAGAAGAAGAAGAAGTGGGTTCTGAGGCCACATTGTGGGGAAAACAAGAACAGACCCACTGTCTCCCCCAGCAAGCATGTTGTAAGAGTCGACTAATTAGGGGCTTCCTTCGAAGTTAGAGTGCATCTGCCTGAAAGGCAAGGAACCAAAAATGTGCATACAGTTAAGTCAGATTTGTTAAACGGACGTGCAGGCAACACTCAGGTTCTGGAACATGACTAAAGTCCACATGTGGACAAACCACAAGAACTTTCCGCTGGAGTTTACAGCCAGCGAAGGTGAAGAAGAAGAAAGAAGATCATTATAGTCTGGAGACAACAGAACAGCTATGCGTTACCAGGGGGATCTATCGACACTCTACACTCAGAGCAAAGGCAAGATAGACATATGATCAATCTGCTACTGACACCTTCTAAATTGGAACTCTTCACTGGCTGCCAAAGATGAGGATGGAGCACTTATGGGAATGTCTCGAGTGCTGTGATGTCAGTTCTCAGCTCAGTACTCAACAACACCCTTACTTTCCAGGACTTTTTTTTTTTTAAAGGTACCTATTTTTTGTACTTAATTGACCTAAGAACTAAAGTAAAATTTTTTTTTTTTATTCACTTGTTACCAATTCAAACTCAAGTCGTTCTGGCTAGGAGGCCAACATCTAGCCACTGTGTTACCCAAGTTCCAACTACCATACCTAGTTGTTTAAAAAAATTGACTATTTCTGATTTACGGGTTAAAATAATACAGCTATGTACATAAGTATTCAAAGAACAGAAACAGAATGTGTTAATGTTACTGCTGAATAAAAGCAAAGAGTTAATAAGAGTTAATAACAACCTCTTAGCAGCATGACAATGGAGGTGATGGCGGTAACACAAGCTTTCATGTGGCTAGCACCTCAGGGCTAGTCTCATGTGTGTGTGCTGAGTGATTCCATGAACATAATCCAGCGGGTCGAGGCAGGCTTTGTACGTAGACAGTGGATCGAGTCATTGCAAAACTCCACTGTGCATGCAATAACCTTCATCTTTTTTTTTTCAGGGAATGTGGGTATTGTTGGCAATGAAAGAGCCAACCGATAATCTAAATAATAACTCAGAACACATAAATGTTTTGCATATTTTCATCTAAATATTATTTGTATTTTACTTTTTACTTCCATGATTTTGTTTTCTGTCATTAAAATTATTATTGTGCCCTTTGATTATGTTTTGCCTTGTGACAGCTCTTCCTATTCCAACTTTCACATTTCTGCTTGAGAGCTTTCTCTGTGTAATGTCAATGGAAGGTTTTCAGCCATAAAATTAGGAACAAGTTCACTCCCCTCCCTCTTGCTTTCATTCATCACTATGAACATCGTTTTAAGGCCAAATGCACAAGAAGAAGAAGTAGACAAAGAAGAAGTCACTAGCATTTTATATTTACCTACTAAAGCCTTGCAGTCGTTTCGAACTTGACTCTGGCCCTCCATGTCATAGAGTCCATCAAAAGATGATAATGCATCTTTCCCAACTGTGCCAAGACAAATCTATGAAAGAGAAATGGGCGTCTAATTCAAGCATGCAATGACACATTTCACTGGCCTCTATTCATCTCTTGGTGTCTTTATTAACAAAATCAAAATTTACCTTGAAAAATTTATAGAAATTAGTTTCTACTTAGAAATTAATTTAAACAAAAAATTATTGCAGGAAGGAGGGGCGGGGACCGACCAACACAAAGATGGGCACACGATATAAGTGACTCCTTGAATATGAAAGTACTCGAGGAGGGACAGCTGGCAAAGTTTCTTTTAGGCAGACCGCCATAAGAGCGACGTTCAGCAAAGGACCTGCTACATGATGATGAGAAATTAATACAGGTGTATCTACATCTGTGTCATAAACAAATAAAAGCATTTGAGACAGAAGGCAGTGGACTACCAATGCAAATCTATTAAATGTCTCATTCATTATCTTTCCCAATTCTTCTTCAGCATTATGAGCACTTGAGGTTCATTGCTACAGATATCACCCACCTCCATTCATCTCTCTGACTGGCTCATTAAGATCTAAGGAGAATGGCGCTGTGAGGAGTTCCCAGGGGATCTGGCTGACGCTCAACACTCAGGGAAAGGATGAGATGGATATACAATCAGACGGTTACTGGAACCATCAGAATTGGAGCTCTTCGCTGGCTGCTGAAGATGGGGGACTGAGAACTTATGAGAGTGTCCCGAATGCTGTGATGTCAATTCTTAATTCAACATTCTCTGACTGGCTTCTCCTTCCAGTTGGTGACTCCAAGTCTGTGTAGGTCTGTATAGATATTATTACTCAACCATCTTCTCTGTCTGCCTTTTGATCTAGTTCCTTCAACTCTTGTGTAGGCAATTCCAGAAAAATTTGACTAAAAAGCTGAACAAAATGGGGAAGCAGAAAAAGGTGCACAAAACAACACAAATAACGTTTCAGCGGGCAGCCTTTTTCAAACATAAGGGAACTATACAAACATAACAACGAGGAGAGGAGAGTATGTAGATCTCTAAGGGGTTAGCAACGTTTAAAAAATTGTGATGTGGAGTAAATGAAATAAAATAAAATAAACAATGGCTAAATAAACATAGTCACACAAAAATAAACAGTAGTTTTGTTAATATATAATATAATACTGGGAATAAAGAAACACACATGTTAATGATACATTGTATTCTTGTGTAGGCAGTTTGTGTATCTCTGTTACGTGTCATTCTCTGCATAAGCCTAAAGTTATCTTTCCCAATTACGCTAAAGTATATACTAAGGGTGGCGTCCGTGGCTTAGGCATTGCGAGTCCGACTCGTAATCCAGTGTACCGCGATCGAAACCCACTCCTGGCTGCGTGGATTTTAATCATAGTATGGGGCGTCGCAGGTCGACCCAGCCTAAAATGGGTACCAGGATGGGCTGTCCTGGGAAAGTAAAGACAGCCGGCGTAATGCTGACCACATTACCCACCGAGTGCTGATGGTCTGTAAAATATGGGTGCTCTTCCCATATGCCCAATACGCCTAAAGGCGTGAAAAGAGATCTTTACTTTTCTTTACTTATATACTAAGGAAAGAAAGCAAAGATGTTTTACTGAAATATTGCTATCTCTCAACTGTAACAAGACAAATCTATCATGAACAATGGAGTACTATGTAACTTAAATAAAATTAAACAAATCTATCATAAGAAAAAGGAAGGCCAAAGAGAAGATGGGTACAGGATGATCTCCAGATGGGTGTATCGGATGCAGGACATCTTGCTCATGATCAAAAAGTTTTCGGGAGGGTTGTTTTGGAAGCAAGGTTCTGCAAAGGACATGCTATTGACTGACTGATCATAAGAAATATTTCAATATTTTAAATATCTTAAATTTACTTTTACAATTCAAATCATTATCAAGGTCTACCCTCAATTTCAAGGCTGCCAAATAGGCAGGGGAAGACACATTTTTTGTCTGTGCAGTATTGGTTTTGTGTAGAAAAACGTCTGCTCATTGGGTCACATTGGGCAATATTGCTAAGAACAAGTACATTTAAAAATTAGGGATTTTAAACTGAACGAAGCAACCATCATTACATTGTTATGTTCACCTGCCAGCCCAAATCTATATCGAATGGAAGTTTTTCTAAAACTGACCTTGGTTCCAGGGTAGACCAAGTTTGAATGGGTAACAGATAATGTCCTAGAAAGTAAAGGCAGCAGGTGTGATGCTGACCAAACACCCATCGAGTGCCGATTTGTTTATAAAAAAATAAATCTAGCACTATATGCCAGATTCACCAAAGGTGATAAAACAGTCCTATACTTACTTTTTTTATTACCATACTGTGAGACAATAGGTCACTTCTATACACAAACATTACCTATCTCCATTAAAGATATCCTGGGCATTGTCATGCATGAGGCAGAGACATGGTGAAGAATCAAGAATATCTCTAGATAGCTGTCATGATTGCTGATCTACAGGGTATTTACTATACTACAATGACGTCACTATGATGATGTGCAAAAGAATTCTTGCATGTTACATAGAATCCCTTTAAACATATGGCTGTGCACCCTGAACTATCAAAACGACAAGCCCAAAACTACTGAGGTCTCAGAAATGTGGTTTACCAAAATAATGCTTCAGATTCATTGGGCAGGGGATAAAAAATAATAAAACTATGCGCCATCTCAATATCACAGGCTGACTACATCACATTCACTGTTGTCTTTGGGAATAATACGTATCATGAAGCTCCGGTCTAGAAGGGATGAAGTTCACAATCAGACAATATGTCAGGATCTTGAAACAGGGGCCTTACAAACTTGAGTGGATCAGTGACAATTACGATGGTATAGACAAGTGTGCAGAATGAGAGGGAATCGACCACCACAGCAGGCATGAGAGGCCAAGAACCAGGGAACCAGACCACCAGGGTGACCCATGGTTCACTGGGAAGACAACATCCAACAGTCCCTGACTGACAGAGGACTGGAATAGAAAAAGCCAAAAAGAAAACTGCAGATAGAGAAGACTGATGATCTCTCTGGCAAACCTCCATGCCTCAAGGTAGACGAGGATTGACTAATTAAGTAAGTAAGAAGCTCCAATCTCTTTAACAGTACAACTTTTGAAAAACCACTGTTTTAACTAGGGCTGTACCGAATTTTCGCTTCGTATTCGCTTCGGGGCCGAATAGTGGACTTATTGACTATTCGGTATTCGGCCAAATAGTTGCGGTCGGGCCGAATACGAATAGTAGTTACCTCACACCCACTTCTGCATACATGGCCTTAATACTGACAACATGGAACGATTGATTTTGTTGAAAGCTAATGCAGCTTTCCTGCATTAACTAAGCTGTCAGTGACAATTTCCAAGTTTAGTTACTTGTTATAATACTTAGGATTCTTTCATTCCTAGTTATTAGTTACCACAGACTGACTGAAGGATGCAAAACATAAAATGTTTTTAAATGTTTACTATTCTGAACGAATACTAACTAGACATGGAAAGAATATATACTCCGGCCACATCCAAGTCGATAATATGAAAATCAAACGAACGGAAACATATAAGTAGTTGGGTGCAAACTTCAACTAGAAATACAATCTAGAAATAAAGTATACTATGCCCTTCAACATCTGCTAAAGTCAAAGTGCTGTCTCACAACACCGAAATCAAAACGTTGATGAGACCAGTCGTGTTATATGGCTCTGAAACTTGAAGCAGAAATAAAAGAGATGAGGCCTTATTACAGGTTTTCGAAAACAGTCTTACTACAAATCTTTCGACCCTTCAAAGATGTTAACAGCCGGGAATGGAGAGTAAGAAGCAACAACGTAACACATAATCTGTTTAATTCACCATTGATCACTGGCATCATGAGAGCTAACAGACTAAAATGGTTGGGGCATATTGAAAGAATGTCAGATGGCTGAGAAGTAAAAACTGTATACACCTGAGAGAGGAATGGGCGTAGACCACAAGGCAGATATAAAAAGAAGTTTGAGAGATAATGTCCAGCCAGACCTGCAAACAACTGGTGTCACAAATTATGAAGAGAAGGTCAGCCAGAGAGATGAATGGAGACGATTGATATCTGCAGCAGTAAACCTCAAGGGCACAGAATGCTAAAGAAGAAGATGACTATTCTGTGCTACTTTATGTGAAGTAAAAGTTCAGCATACATTTGACATTCTGAATGTGTGTGTGTGTGTGTGTGTTTTTTAAAATAGATATATGTTATACACAATACACTATTCGTATTCGGCCGAATAGTTGGTCTCACTATTCGTATTCGGCTGAATAGTGAAAATCACTATTCGGTACAGCCCTAGTTTTAACTTTACGGGTTTTTGATGACATCTTCTGGCAGTGGCAATACATCTATACAAAAGCTATGGTACTGGTTGCAAATGCATAGTCTGAAGATAGGGTTGGTATGATAATTTTACCACAAAAGCAAAAGCAGATATTATTAGGGGTGAAACAATTTTTTTAAGAGTGTCACATAAAAATACAATTTATTACAAACATCAGATAAAGTGGGTCATCATTTGTTGCCACATTATGAAAAGAAAAAACGTACCTACTGTGACAATTTGACAGATTTATAGAAAGATGTACTAGGGAAGACAATGCAAGGAAATTCTTTACAGCCTTTTCTCATGGACATGGAAAGTTATAAGTACATAACTAAATTCATGCTGCTGTAGACTGGACATTGTGGAGAAGCATGATTCCCTAAGCCACTCAGCAGGACAACTGATGATGATGATGATGTTGATGATGATACTGATGATGTTGATGATGATACTGATGATGATTTTGATGATGATGATACTGATGATGATGGTAATAATGATGATGATGATGATGATACTGATGATGATGATACTGATGATGATGTTGATACTTATGATGATGGTAATGATGATGATGATGCTGATGATGATGATGCCGATGATGATACTGATGATGATGATGTTGATGATGATACTGATGATGATGATGTTGATGATGATACTGATGATGATGATGATACTAATGATGATGATGATGATACTGATGATGATGATGATACTGATGATGATGATACCTATGATGATGATACTGATGATGATGATGTTGATGATGATTTTGATGATGATGATACTGATGATGATTATACTGATGATGATGATGATACTTATGATGATGGTAATGATGATGATGATGATGATGTTGATGATGATACTGATGATGATGATGATGATACTGATGATGATGTTGATGATACTGACGATGCGGAATCTTACCTGCCAAACTTCAGCTCTTAAATGCACTGGCACAGGCCTTCCTTTACAAATGTTACGCAAAGAACCAAAATCACATTCTTCAACTAAAGCTGTTTCTAATTCTGACAACCTGAAAAGAGTGGTCAAAAATTCAGCATCAGTAGCAGCAATTTCATGTGACAATCCAGCTGTATGATACAACTGGAGACTAAAGAATACTATTTAAAAAAGTAGAAGAAAAAACAATTTAAAATTCATGGGGGAAAAGAGACTACATCATATGATCATTATATACTAACATAAAAACCAAACTATAAATAAGGAAAACATTTCACAAAATTAGAAATAATAATACACTACAAATTTGAAATAGGATCAGAATGTAAACTAGAGGGACGAGAAATCAATGTAACCATTAAATAATATAAATATAGTACTGTATTTTTTATAGATTGTAGAATGCAGCAGGAACAACGGATCATATTTTTGATACATAAGAATCATTATTGAATGCTGAATTAAGATAGCACTAGGGATACTTCCATTACGCTCCGTTCCCATCTTGAGCAGCAACCAAAGAATTCAAATTCCAGTGGTACCAGTAACTGTCTGATTGTACATCTGTCTCCCCTTTCCCTTGAGTGTAGAGAATCAGGCCTATCCCCTGCTAACTCCTCACAGCACCATTCTCCTTAGACCGTAATGATCTATCTGTGCCTCCGCACTGTTCACTCGATCCAAAAAGGCCCTCACAACATCTTGCCTGTCATACATAAATTCACCACCAAGTGGCGCACAACTGGCCAGTCTATCTGCCAGCTCATTTCAAAACACGCTGACAAAACCTGGAGAAAATATCAAAAGGATGTGAACTACCCGGGAACTCTGAAGTCATGCATGCCTGTCTCCATCTTTCTCCACATGCTCTGTGAGTCAAGTTACAAATCACAGCATATGTGTACAGCTGCTTCTCAAGCCAGCGGTGACTGCCTTCATCTCCATTCTGAAACTAGACGTTGTGATATCATATGCCAAACTCTGCTGCACTAAGCGACATCCATTCGCTCACAAATTATTGAGGCTAAGAAAATACCCTAACAGGGCCTCATTCATATGTAAATTGCCGAGAGTATCCCGTGCGCAGCTACGCGCGGCGCAGGGGGGGGCTAAACTAGATGGCTGGGACTCACAAGCAAATAAAATGGATGAAGCTGCAGGAGATGCGGTAGCTGCTGCTCGTGAGTTCCAGCTATCTAGTTTAGCCCCCATCCGTAGTGGTGTGGGGGAAACTCTCGGCGGTGACTTTAACTCAGCAGAAGCTTTTCCATGGTAAAGTCACTGGAAAGAGGTCAGCAATTTAAATATGACTGAGGCCCTGTTAGGGTATTTTCTTAGCCTCGATAATTTGGGACTGTTATTCATAGGATAGCCCGCTTTTGCTATGAACCCCCATGCACCTCTTCTACCTCTCAACACAGTGCCACCTGTATAGATAATCAGAAAACCTGGGAGAGAATTCGGCTCTCCTCCGAACTTCTACCCTGGCAAAATGGCGGCCAAACAAATACCCTAACAGGGCCTTAGTCCTAAAAAATGCGGACTTGGACTTCCTGCCGAGGAACAAATCGCGGCAAAACTAGGATCCGCTGAATAACGAAACAAATTGCTCTAACACGGTTTCAGCGATATGTTAATTGCGGACCTGTTTCTGTGACTATGCATCATTGCCGACAGTATTCCCCGTGGCGCGGATGGGAGGCTAAACTAGATAGCTGGGACTCACGAGCAGCAGCTACCGCATCTAATGCAACTTCCTCCAATTTAATTGCTAGGCATCTAGTTTAGCCCACCCCCCCCCCCCCCACATCCACGCATAGTGGTGCGGGGGATACAGTCGGCGGTGAGTATAATCGAAGAGCCAGTAAAACGTCATCATGACTATTTTCTCAGTTGATATGTTGCAGCTGGCAAATAACGAGCCAGTGCGCACGCTACACTCAGTACTTCAGCGACGACAGGGCCCACGAGTATCTGTCAGAGACCACCTGCCGCGCTGCTAACGATACAGCTCTCTGGCAGGAAGAACATATCTGCGAGTTGCGTATCAGCCTGTGGGTAGCTAGCCATTCCAACCAGACTAGTTTATCGGTCACTACTCGATGCAAATCGGCAGGTCTCACATCTACCGCTAAATCCTCTATCGGAAGAACAGTATTGCTATTCTGCGTCGGAGCGCGTCATATCCCTGCCATGTCGCTTTTATCGCCTGTAATGTTGCGTGTCTTAAAATGGCCAACAGTCGCTATTATCGTCTGCAGTGTTGCGTCTCTTAAAATTGACAGGTAATCCTAGTTTTGCCGCGATTTGTTCATCGCAGGAAGTCGCGCATTTTCCATAGGACTGAGGCCCTGTTAGGGTATTTGTTTTGCCGGGGTAGACGTTCGGAGGAGAGCCGAGAATTGTCATGAATCATTTGTTGAACTTCCGATTCTGCAAAACTAGCTGGGTAGTCCCTGCACTCACGACCTAAAGTGATAAGAACCAGGCTCTATCTATACAAGTCTGAAGAAAACTTGGGCTATCCTCCGAATGACGGTCCTAAATTATCGAGGCGGAAAATATACCCTTAAAGGGCCTCAGTCACATTGCGCACTAGCGTCGTCTTAAATTGCGCACTTCTGGCGACTTTCTCCACCGCCCAGAGTATCACGCCGCTTGCGCGGCATGGATTGGGGCTAAACTAGATGGCTGGGGCTCACAAGCGGCAGCTACCGCATCTCCTGCAGCATCCTTCATTTTATTTGCTCCCGAGTCCTAGCCATCTAGTTTAGCCCCAATCCACGCCGCGTGAGCGTCGTGGGGGATACTCTCGGCGGTGGCGCTATAGTCCCCGGAAGTGCGCACTTGACACGTGACTGAGGCCCTGTTAGGGTATATGGCTATCTTCAGGATAACGGGCACAAAAGATGGCGGCCAAAAACAGGGCCTCAGTCACGTGTCAATTGTGCACTTCCAGTGACCTAATTTGCGGCTTTCCGGCGACTACCCCCGCCGCCGAGAGTGTCCCCCATGCCGCTCACACAGTGTGGATTGGGGGCCTCAGTCATATGTAAATTGCCGAGAGTATCCCGTGCGCAGCTACGCGCGGCGCAGAGGGGGGCTACACTAGATGGCTGGGATTCACAAGCAAATAAAATGGATGAAGCTGCAGGAGATGCGGTAGCTGCTGCTCGTGAGTCCCAGCCATCTATTTAGCCCCAATCCACGCCGCTCTCGGCGGTGGTGGTAGTCGCCGAAAAACCGCAAATTAAGTTGCCGGAAGTGCGCAACTGACACGTGACTGAGGCTCTGTTAGGGTGTTTTTGCAGGCGCCATCTTTTGTGCCCGTTATTCAGAGGATAGCCGGGTATATTTTCCACCTCGATAATTTAGGACCGTTATTCGGAGGATAGCCGAAACTTGCTTGGTCGCTTTGAACCTCTTCTCTCCTCACTGATAAATATGGAGTACACGAAATGAAGATAGATCTCCATACATGCTACACAGACTACAGCTAGGGCTTTGACTGTATTCAGCACCAAAAACTGTCACTAATGACAATAACTGAGTTACACATCCCAAATCAGGTGTTATTTAACCCACTCACGGACGGATGTTTTGATTCTTTTGTTTTCTCTAAATAAATTCATTCTTTGAAGAAGAAAAAATACGAGTCCAGATTAAAAAAAGACACTTCTCGTTATTTGTGTAAAGTCAGTCCATTGTTTTATCCCTTTTGTCTAAAAAGAAAATTTTATATTCAAAGATAACCAGCCGTGTTTTACCAGCTAGTGTCGTCTTCGATAACACCAGATATCCCACTGTCCGCCATCTTGTTGATTGACGTGTTTATCAAAAGTTTAAGATCGTATGTCGCAAATCTCAGACGAGGTAGAAGGAACACTTACAATTGTTTAAAATGTGTTAACCGTTAACAGAGTTGCACCAGACTATAGCAGTCTAATAAAATTATTTGTAAGTTTAAATACAAAAGTAAAAATATTTATGTATGTTTTCCTTGATGTCGTAAGATTAAGTCCTTGACTGCACTGCCAAGGACTTCCATTAACAGCCTTTAATTTTCGTAAATGTTCAGTATTTTCTTTCAAACCAAAGACTCTTCAGATGTCCAGTAACTATAAAAAGACCCTTCTCACATCTGTAGGCGTATCGGGTATATAGTGCTAGACTTATTTTTGAGACTCAGTGGGTGATGTGTGCTAGCATTCCATCAGCCGCCTTTATTTCCCATGACTTTATTTGGTACTTAAGGCAGCCAAAGTTATGATTAAGAAAAATCAGTCTTGATGCGGATTTAAACCTACGACTTTCGAGCGTCTAGCCGTTACACAATGTGGGTCCTCCCTCCCCCCCCCCCCTCCCCCAACTATTCGTCGTCTGCCTTTCTATCCCCCAATGGAAAACAGACCCTCGACAAACTCATACCAAGTCCTTTTATCCTTCGCTATTACACGGAGCTCTGCCCATGTCCTCCCAATCTTTCTTACTTCATTCTCCAGCTCTCTACTCCACTTTTTTCCCTTTCTTTATTCATATACCCCTGTGGGTTCAAATGCAAATACCTCCCCATATCATAGAGAGTTCAAGCATTGCAGGTGCCAGTTCTGGAGGTTTCCTAGCTGAGAGGTGGTATGTCAACTATCTAGACTCCTTTTGTTGGCTGGGATTTACTTGCTTTTCTTTTTGACTTATCCTTGGTTGGTTGGTTTTTGTGGCTATTGTTTTTACAGGGTGAAGTAGCCAACCTTAAAACCAACCCTACCCTTAGTCACCTCTAAGATATGCCTGGTAGGGTGCAGTGTCACTATTCTTTGCTTTTATACCAGCCTCTTATTTAGAATATCTCTGACACGTTTAATTTCGTAAATGTCCATATTTGCTTTTGTTTTCATATCAAAGATTTTTCAAGTACCTAATCACTATCACCATCCTGGGTCCTGCCGATGAGAGTAGATGAGCATGGGCCGCCGTCCTATACGTTTACCAGAATCACAGAACATTCTTATCCCACCCCCATCCATGTGGCCAAACCATCTAGGTTGTTATCGATTTGCTTTCACCATGCTTCATCCGCCTCCCAACCAATCGATCTGCAAGTCGCATGATAGGAGTAGACCTATTCTATAATAAAGAAACTGGTGCCTGCTTTTTTCCGCTAACCCTTTCGAAGCCCTTGAACACAGTGCACTATATGTTTAGCGCCTTTTCCTGCAAAATAAACTCGGATTGCTCTGTAATCACGGAAGCAGCTGATATACTGAGCTTAAGAACAGTCGAAGGATAGTTAACGGCCGTGCTGGCAAGATCCACGTCTGTTGACAAAACAATAGTAAAAATGGCTACCGTCACCATACCGATATAGTTACTAGCAAGAAACGAACACAAGCATTAGTTTGTGATAGTTATCACCCTGTCAAGACAGTGCCGTGGTTTGGCACCAACAATCGTTGATGCATAAATGAAAGCATTGCTGAAGGAACAAACATCACCGGAAGATGCTGTTATATATACAGATGGTGCATGAGCTTTCACAAGAACCAAAGGGAAGGTCATCAAAGTGGAGCCGTTGCTTCTACCCCCAGCAGCATGACAATGGAGGTCATGGCTGTGACAAAAACACTAGAATGGCTGAGATCTCAGGAATTCACCTATGCCTGTTTACTCAGTGAGCGTGCTGCAGAAGACTAAGGCGGTGTACATACAGAAACGATGGCTACATCTGATACAGCACACAGCGTTTCGTAAAATCACCCTATTTTTTGCCTCAGGAAATGCTGGTGTGAAAGGCAATGAGAGAGCACACGCCTTGGCTGGCAGTGCGAATATCATGAATGGGCCATCTATGGAAGAACAGACATTATCAATGCCGTAAGAGAGACAAAACATTGTGAGGTTTTCAGTGTCAGGAAAAATAATTTTTCACTAAATAGACTGTATACCGTGGGTATACCAGATGGAACTGCGAAACAGGATAATCATAGGGGAGCCACCCGTCGTTACATCAACCAGAACAGAATGGGAATTAGCTTAAAAACAATTGAAGATATACTCAGGAGGAGACTAGAGCACTTACGGTCATGACCAATTTGCGATGAAGATGACCTTTAGCAAGCCAGAATTCAAAGACAGACTGCTCCTATATACATGACATATTCTCTTTATCCACATTTCCAGAGACTATTCGGTTTTCTAGTTGTGTGTTTATTGTCCAAGTTTCTGCACCATGTAGCAGGGTTGTGTATTCATAACATTTGACGATTCTAATTTTTAATGTTATTTATCTCTCTAGCTGCCAACAATTTTCGCATCCTTTTGAAGACAGTTTGAGCCATTCTTCTTCTTCTTGATTTGTGTTTTGACTTCTGCTTTTGTCTGTTACTACGTGTCCAAGATAAAAAAAAAAAGGTCGGTGGGGGGGGGTGGGAGGGGGGGGGGCTAAGTGGACCCGAGGTATGTCATCCGCCTCGAGTGCTGGAGGTCCCGGGTTCAAACCCCTGTAAAGGCTGGGATTTTTTACGTAGATTTCTAGTTATTTTCGCAGGTCTCTGGGTAGTAAGATTAGACACCCTTGTATAAAGTTGCGCACACAAAAATCCGATGGCAGTTGGCAATCGGAGAAAGAAAAAAAAAAAGCCCAACAGCGCTGCCCGAACTAAATTTAGATTTTAAAATCTACCCTATTTCAGGAACCTCGTCGGTGCAACGGAGTTCGTACACTGCGCTGAGATAGAGTCATACTCAGGCTTGAGTTAGAAGCAGAACGGAGCACTTATGGGTTACACCCGTGTGCCATAATGTTGATCTGTTGAATAAACATAAACATAAACCTACTTGTCCAAGATAGGAGAAACTTGTTACTTGTTCTAATCTCTACGTTTACTGTGATGTTCAGTGTTAGTCGCTCTTTTCCATGACCTAGTTTTTGTTTTTCTAACGTTATTGTCTAACTAAACCATACCCTAGACAGTCACAACAATAATCCCAGGCATAGACAGAAAGGTTGAAGAAGGTGACCTATTTCAACATGCAAAGACCCTTGAATATGTCTACAACTCTTATCCAAAAACAGAATGGACACACGTATACACCGATGGGTCATTGGGTAAAGCTGAAAAATAAAAACGGAGGAGCAGGATCGGTCATCATACTGCAAGATGGGACCACAGTAGAAACCTCATGTGCCTACGGAAAACTCCCAACAAACTTCAGAGCAGAGCAGCAAGCAGTTAACTGATACAACCAAAGTGCTTGAGGAAAGAAAAATTAAAAACAGCAAAACTGTTTTCCTGTGTGACTGCATGTCAGTCCTCAAGGCGACTCAGAGGGATCCACAAGACAACGTGTATAGAGAATAACACGACAGCTAAATAGACTCTGAGAAAACAATCAAATAGTTCTACAGTTCATCCTGCTTCTCATACTCCAGGGGGCCGCCTTAGCGCAGTCGATAAGAAGCTCACTTTCAAAATCCAGCTGCGACTTGCTGCAGCCCACGGTCGGTGTTCGAAACCTGGCGGCTCCCGGGGTTCACCCAGCCTCTAGGAAATGGGTACCAGAGTGATATGCTGGGGTAAATGGAGGAACATCGCTGTAGCTTTAGAGTTCCGTGCGAACAGCGACAGAGGCGGACAATTCTCATCAGCTGTCCGTACTGGTTAGTGGCAGAGCACTTATGGTTTATGACCGTGTGCTATGACGCTGGTTCACATCTCCCGACTTTACCTTCTCATACTCCATTCGCCGCTGTTAAAATCTTTCATGGGTTAAAAGCTTCCTCATGAGACTACTTTCGAAAATGCGTACTAAGACTTCAACTCTTTTAGTTGTGCTCCAAGTTTCAGAGCCATATAAAACAACAATTCGCTTGAAATAATATTAACTGTATAAACAACCTCAAAAGATCATTTCTATACATGGTTAGAGAAGGCATCTTGGCCCTCTTTCAACATTTTAGTGGTGTCCGCCTCGAGTGCTAGAGGTTTCGGGTTCAGTCCCCAGTAAGGGCTTGGATTTTTTCACGTGGACTTCTAGTAATTCCCTCTGGTCTCTGGGTAGTGAGATCGGACGCCCGTGTGCATTGTCGCGCACGTAAAAAAAAATACTTTGGCAGTTGGAAATCGAAAAGAGTAGCTTAACGGCGCTGCCCGGGCAAAATTTGGAGTTTAAAATCTACCCAAAGTATTTCAGGATCCTCGCCGGTGCTACAGAGCCTGTGCACTGTCTATCTAGAGATAGATAGATTAGACAGACAGACAGACAGACAGACAGACAGACAGACAGACAGACAGACAGACAGACAGACAGATAGATAGATAGATAGGACGAAATTTTTTGTTATTTGAAGCCCCACCCTGGCTTTTGCCAGGGGCCGCAATATAGGCAGGCCATAAATATGGCCAAATGTCTGAACGCGGTTTCTGGGACCTCTCCACGGCGATCCTCATCCGCATGGTGGCACTTTGTGTCATCGGGTGTTTATCGCTTGTGTGATGTCCTGGTGGGGTAGAAAGTCAGTCAGTCAGTCAACGCCACACAGGCTCTGGTACAAGACTAAAGTCCAGATGTGGACGAACAGCCAGAGCGTTCCTCCGACGTCATCTAAACCAAGAATCATCTAAAGTCTACATTCCGCGAGGGATCAACATCTTCGGGTGGCAGAGTCCCGGTACCTGAGATTCTTCATGCTCACAAGTTCAGCCAATGTTGTTGGATGCACGAAAAAAGTCTTCCACGTAAGACTATTCTGAATCTGAGGAGCAAGCGAAGCGAAGGCAGTAGTGGTTCCAATATTGTAGGCTTCCCAAGAGGATG